AGCTTACCTTTTGTCCCGTGACATCCTCACTATGTCATTTGCGCCAAGAGACACCCACGAAGCCCAAGTGCAATTCGCTCTTGAGCGAGGAGTTCCCGCTTTGATTGGAGTTCTTGCGTCAAAGAGGCTTCCCTACCCATCAAGAGCTTTTGACATGGCTCATTGCTCTCGTTGTCTCATTCCCTGGAACTCATTTGGTATCACCATATATCATGACTAGCTTACTAATTTAATTTCTCCATTGAGTCCTTAAATTTCAACGACTGGTTAATTAATTTGAAAATTGCAGATGGAATTTATTTGATGGAAGTCGATCGGGTTTTGAGGCCTGGTGGGTACTGGATCCTGTCTGGGCCACCCATCAACTGGAGAAGACACTGGAAAGGTTGGGAGAGGAGTAAGGAGGACTTGAACACAGAGCAGACTTCTATTGAAGCTGTGGCTAAAAGCCTCTGCTGGAACAAGTTGGTGGAAAAAGATGGCATTGCTATTTGGCAAAAACCCATCAATCACCTGTCTTGTAAAACAACAAGAAACTCACCTTTTTGCCCTGCTCAAGACCTAGACAGAGCCTGGTATATCCATCTTATAATTCCATTAATTATTTAATTATTAAGATGATTTTTTGTTAATCTTCATTTCATTCAATCAGGTACACGAGCATGGAAACCTGTTTGACCCGTTTGCCTGATGTTTTGAGTGAGAGAGAAATCTCGGGTGGTGGATTGGCAAAATGGCCTGCGAGACTAAACGTGATACCGCCAAGGATAAGCAGAAGAACGGTTGAGGGTGTAACAGGTGAAACGTTCAGGGAAAATTCAGAGGTATGGAAGAGAAGGTTGTCGTATTACAAAAGAGTGAACAATCAGTTAGGGGAACATGGAAGATATCGTAACCTGTTGGACATGAACGCTTACCTTGGTGGCTTCGCTGCTGCTCTGGTTAATGAGCCTGTTTGGGTGATGAACGTGGTCCCTGTTGAAGCCAAGGTTAATACACTGGGTGTCATTTATGAAAGAGGACTCATTGGGACTTACCAGAGTTGGTATGATACACACACACACACACATGTATATTTTAACTTAATGGTTTAGGTGTGATTTCTGTTTATTATTATAATTCCAAATACTATATGTTGTGGAATATTGGTGCAGGTGTGAAGCAATGTCTACGTATCCAAGGACATATGATCTCATTCATGCTGATTCAGTATTTAGTCTTTACAGTGATAGGTAAATTAATTAAGATAGAGGAATATTATATGCTGATTTCCTCCTAAGATTAATGTATATATAAAATATATGTTGCAGATGTGAGATGGAGGATATATTGTTAGAGATGGACAGAATATTGAGACCAGAAGGAAGCGTAATAATCCGAGATGATGTAGATATGGTGGTAAAGATGAAGAGGGTGATGGATGGAATGCAGTGGGATAGTCAAATTGTAGATCACGAAGACGGCCCTCTTCACAGGGAGAAGCTCTTATTTGCAGTGAAAATGTACTGGACGGCTCCGCCTTCCCAACAAAATTCTTCTCAAACTTAGTTCTTATTTTTAGTTTTCTTTTTTGTAATTTATTTAACTATTCTTTATTGGTATATTATATATTTGAGTTACATAAATATTAATATACCAGCAGAATATTGCAGCTTTTGAATTCATAAAGAACACTTCACATGCAGCTTCTTATCTTAATTAGACCCATGAGAAATTAATATTATAATTATATTGTAATGGCGGGATGAAATCAAATTAAGGTTAATTATTTATAAGTAATATAATATCAGCAATCCATGAAAAATTAACGTTATAATTATATTGTAATAGTGGAGTAGTATAAAAGCTGCAGGCACACACACGAGTGAAATGAACTCAAATTAAAGTTAATTAGGTTGTTCATGCATATTCCACCAACCTCTTGCCCCCCCAAAAAAAAAACAACAATATATAAATGAACCTAAAACAGCTAGCATGGAAACAAGGAAGAAAAGAAGAAAAGAAGAAAAGCTCTCTTTGAAAGAATAACTGAGTAGTCATGGCCGCATATCTGATCAAGTCCGCTGCAGTTGTTCTGTTTGTGGTGGCGCTCTTGGCGGAGACCAAGATGGGTGAGGCACAAACATGCAGCACTCAGCTGAACAACCTGAACGTGTGTCTGCCCTATGTCATGGCTGCAGGTGGCACCAGCACCAGCCCCAGTACTGAATGCTGCTCTGCTCTTCAGGCTGTTCAACACGACTGTATCTGCAACACTATCAGGATTTCCTCCAGTCTTCCTGGTCTCTGCAATCTCCCTGCCCTCACTTGTCCCAACTGATCACCTGTAAGTCATCTACCAACCTACCTTTCCATATAATGGTGCATACGATGTGTGTAACTACTGGGTTGACTTTATTTTGTAAGGATGGTTGACTAATATTCCAATGAATTCTTTCTCCCACAGACAAATTAGCGGCTAGTGCAGCCAAGATGCGAGAGAGTGCCAAGGCTGGGAATAATGCTGGAGTACTAGCTGGCGAGTTTTTGTTAATTTTTATCTTTTCTCTAATAGTTTACTGAATAAATAATACTGCTTATAGATTCCTCTTTTCGATGAAATGGCTGTTTGGTTAATGATCTACCTCTCTCTTATACGTAGACTTGCAGTACCTGATGTGTAGTTATTCTATAACAGCACTCAATAAATTACTCCATATATCTTCTGTCTCATCAGCATGAATATATATATATATATATGTAACTATAAACAAAATTGTACGTGTATTAATTGATTAATCTAGAATCGACACAAATTAAATGTCGATTCTTGAAAATTACAAGGACTGATTAGTGCTACGATCTAATCCAAATAAACGAATTATCTGCATATTAAAAACAAATATAAAAGCTAACTAAAGACCCTGTCCTGCATATAGCTAGTATCAACAACTCAGATCCTGTGGTGCAGTTTATCACCCTTGCAAACCGGATTTTGCTTGGCCAAAACCTGTCGACCAGCGATCTTGTAATCGAACCTGCAAGAATGCTTCTCTGGGTACCGGTGCATACCGCAGAACACTTGACCGCATCGGCACGCGAACCCCGTTAAACCTACTTTCCTGTTACAGCTATGACATCTGTTCTTGACTTTCGCTGATCCGCCACCACCTACGGCGGTTCCTGCACCTTCGCTAGTAGCAGCATCGACACTAGTCTGTAGAGAAGGATTAGGTGAGCAGCTGAGTTCTTCCGGGAAGCCCCAGAAGATTTTCTTTTTCTTCTCTGTTTGAGAAATTCTTTATAGCACTTGGAGCATAGATTCTGGTTCTCCACCGAACCATAGAACCCGCATCCTCTCTGACACATTGACGGAGTTCCGTTGTTGGTATTCATGATCGATCTTGGTAGCTTGATGATTGAAACAACAAATTGCTTTCTACTGTCTTGATGATGAATGACGCAAAGAACTAGTTCCGTGGTTAACAGAGACGTTTTGCTTTGATATATATATAAATATAAATATATAGAGGCCTGGCCGGGCTTTGGTTTTGGCCCGAAGTCGGATTGATTGGATTAGGTTTAGGAATCTGATTCGGAAAAGGAAAATTCTTTTACTTCTCCAGCGCTCACAAAAACGCTACCGTTTTATAGATTTAATTTCTGTAATCATTGTCGCTTTTCTTTTTCCTCTTTTATCCCCAGTTTTCCTTCAATAAGTATTTAAATATGTAGATATTTTTTAATTACATGCTTTATTTTTTAACTTCATATTTTACATGTTTAAAAATAGGATATATAATTCTTAATTTAATTCCCCTTTTTTTTTTTTTTTGGAGACCATTAATAATGTTGATTTAATTCTTAATGATAGCTGGGGATTGCAATACCCAAAAGTGATACATCAATAGTAAATTTTAACAATAAGAAAAAAAAAAACACAAAATTCCTCCCAAAAATGGAAAAAAGTATTTAATTGCACCGAGCTCCCTAAAATTTAAGTAATTACATGAGAGTATTCCATAAATTTGAAATTGCACTGAGCGCCCCATTTCTAAAATTTGGAGGGACTGTCCTCTCTTTCATATCTGATGAATGACACTGCACAACAATAACTCAGTTATCTTCTATTCCCCAATTTGAAGAAAGTAACAACTTATACAATGCTGGTATTCTAAATCAATATTCGCAGGTCTGCCTACCTCCATCATCGAGAAATCAACTTTATTCCCAGTTCTGAACTAAAACCCTAATATCTCAACGCCAGTATTTCAGGTACGCTCCTTACCTGTTAAGATTGCAATTGCGTTTATTTCTTTATTTAACTTAATATAATTTGCTAAATGTGTCTTATTGACTAGTTCCTCCTCTTTATAAATTTATATTTTTAATGGAAATTTGTTGCGCATGCATCTTTGTTTGGGGGAATCTTGATTCCGTCGAACATAGATAAAGCACGGTCAGTGAGTTTAGTTCAATGATGCAGCACTTATAAGAAAGGCATGCAGTCTCCTTGATTGTTTATCACCAAAATTCGATCGTTATACTAAGTCCGTGTCTGCTGGCTGAAAGTGCGATCATGTTAGACTGTAAAAGGGCGATTCTGTTGTCAAGTTAAATAAGAGCTATTAGTAGAATGATAATTAGATTGATCAAAGAGGAGATTCAGTAATTGATGGACTTTCAATTATTTAGTGAGATATCACGTGGAGTTCAGTTGCTAAAAGAGTGTAAGAATTTACTGGTAATTACACTCAAAATGATAAAGAATTTACTGGTAATTTCATTCAAAATGATAAAGAATTTACTGGTAATTACATTCAAAATGATACCTGCATTAAATTTTTGCCAGAACTTATTCCAACATCTATACTCAAAGTACTGACAACAGATCGGAAGGGGTTAGGGATCTCTCTCTTCCTGTCTATGTGCATTTACGTGTGTGCGCTTTCTAGTGGCATGATTACCTCTTTTCTCTTTTGATACAATTAATTTCCTTGTGCGTATTACTTTGTTAGATAACAAATATCATCTCCTTGGACACACAGTCAAACTGAAATGTGTATATTGCTGTCTTCTTACTGGATGATATAGTTCCTGTTCTACTAGCCAAGTGCTTATGTTTTGATTGACTAAGAATGGTGTGGGAATAGCCTTTACAAATAGTTACTTTGTGGTGAAAGCTGTATGATACTTGGCGAAAATTGCTGAAAAGGTTACCATTAGTGTATAATTCAAATTTTTATTTTGTTTGGTTAACTATGTTGTAAAATTATATTAAATTAGCATTGTTTTGGTTATCATCAAAATGACTATTATAAACAATTTAAATGTTAAAAAACTTTCCTTGAAATTTCTCTCCTTTCAATTATTATTTTTTAAAATCTAGCTTAATTGTTAGTAACTTTATCAAATGTCAAATTGGCTACTATATTTAACTAAAAGCATTTTTTGTTTTGATGCTTTTAGTGAGCCTTTGTTCTTTCACTAAAGGCACATTCTATAAGCTTTCAATAAATCACTTCTCTTTCCCATCTTTCGTCTGATCCGGCACATTTATTCATGATTATGAAGATCAAGAAATGTAGATTTAAGACGAGTGATAAATTACCTAGCGTGTTGTTATTCTTGCCAATGATCCAATGAATTGATGAATGTTTTCTTTTTTATATTGATCTCTGCTCATATATTTCTCTGTAATGAAGGCCGATGAATAGGGAGGATGATGAGCTGGGTGGTGCACTTGATGAGGACACGGATATTAGACATCAGACAACAAACAATTTGGACTTGAATGTAGAGCAGAGCTGTCGCAGCCCAAAGGTTACCTCTCTGAATATATCTGAGTCTAATATTGCTTCAACCAGTGAGGCTAATACGGATGCAGTAATAAAAATAGGCACTGAGTTTGAATCAGATGAGCATGCATACAAATTTTACAACAAATATGCTACATTGCTGGGTTTCAGTGTTCGAAAAGATTGGGTAAATAGGAGTAAGGTACACGGTCAGGTGGTGTCTAGAAAGTTTACTTGTTCTAAGGAAGGCTACCGAAGGAAAGATAAAAGAGATATAAACGTGAAGAAGCACCGGAAGGAAACAAGGACAGGTTGCATGGCACACATGATCATCACTCGTCAGTCTGATGGAAAATATAGAGTTACACATTTTGAAGCACAACACAATCATGACAAAATAAATCTTAGTAATACTCAAACTTTATTGTTGCAGGAGGAATTACGTGCTTCTGGAGCTGAACTTCCAAGTACTTTCGAGGTACAGGAAAATTCTGTATTCGAACAGGTTGATAGAAGATCTGGAGTACGGGAATGTCTTGATTATCTTTCAGCTGACTACGAAGGTTACATTCGGTCTGAGAGAACAAGAAATATGAAGGAAGGGGAGGCAGGGCACTTAATACAGTACTTTCAGAGGCAACACTTTGAAAATCCTTTATTTTTTTATGCAGTACAGCTTGACATTGATGACAAGGTAACCAACTTATTTTGGTCTGATGATAATATGGTAACAGACTTCAATCACTTTGGTGATGTGGTGTGTTTTGACACAACTTGCCGAACAAATAAAGACCTTCAACCATTTGTACAGTTTATAGGAGTGAATCACCATAATCAAGTTCTTATTTTTGCTGCTGCCCTTTTATTTGACGAAACTGTCGAATCACTGAAGTGGTTGTTCCATACTTTTTTAGAGGCAATGTCTGGGAAGAAACCAAAAGTGATCCTCACAGATCAAGATGCTGCAATTGTTGAGGCAATAAATGCAGTATTTTCAGAGGTAGATCACCATATATGTGTGTGGCAGATGTGTCAGAACGCCCTTAAACACCTTAGCCATGTAGTGAAGGACACCAGGCCTTTTTTTGCTGATTTTAAAAGTTGCATTTATGACCAGAAGGATGAGGAGGGTTTTATTAGTGCCTGGGAGTCTATGCTGGATAGTTATGGTCTTCAGCAAAATGAATGGCTCAGATGGATGTTTAGAGAAAGAGAAAAGTGGGCTGTGGTCTACGGCAGGAACACCTTTTTCATAGACATGAACAGCTCACATATGGGTGAGAATTTGTCTAACAGTTTGAGGAATTACCTAAACTCCAACCAAGAGTTGCTTCAATTTATCAAGCATTTTGAGAGGGTTATAAATGAGCTACAGTACAGAGAAACAGAAGCTAATGCTAAAATGAATAGCTGCATGCCAAGGTTGATGGCTAATGTAGTATTGCTAAAGCATGCAAGTGAGATTTACACACCAAAAGCATTTGAATTACTTCAGCTAGAATATGAGAAGTGTTTAAATATTGTTGTTAACCCGTGCAGTGAGACTGGATTTTTGTCTGAATACAAAGTTAATACATTCGGCCAAATGCGAGAATACACTGTTAAGTACAATTCTTCAGATAATACTGTCAATTGCAACTGTTTGAAATTTGAGTATGTCGGATTTCTCTGTAGCCATGCCTTAAAAGTTCTTGACCACAGAAATATAAAGGTCGTCCCATCTCAATATATATTGAAGCGATGGACGAAAGAAGCAAGGACTGGAAGTGTAAGAGTGCATGGTGGGTTCATTGAACGAGAAGAAGACCCTAAGTTGGTTGTAGCAAGACGTTACAAGGATTTGTGCCGTAGTATGCTAAATCTTTCTGTCAGGGCAGCTGAATCAGAGGAGGCATTCCACTTTGCTTCAAGACAACTCAATGAAGTCATCGAGGGGTTGGAAAAAATCGTGATATTAAGGCCTGAGGAAACTCAAGGTATCACCTCGAGTAGCAATGGGGCAAATGCTTCTGAAAATGAAAATGCAGAGATATTTTTGGATGAAAGTGCAATTGAGGATCGGGATGAGGACAGCATAGGAAGAGAAGGAGAAGAAACAGAAGGTGCTGTCTCTAGCAGACGTAAACTGAAAAATATGAATGCAAAAATCTCTAAGAAAAGAGTTCAGAATCGACAGCCACACTCACAAAACACTCTGACTTGCATTTCGAGCCCCCCAGCTTCCTATGTTTCACCACAATCCTCCACACCAAATCCTGTCATGCAGGTGAAACGTGGCTTTTCTTTATTGCTGCGACAAGCAATTTTGTATCTTCTATAATGTACTTATTATAAATGTTATTACTAACCCTTAAGATTTATGTTTCTATAGGGTTTGTACAATTTTGAAGCTAACCAGGTAGTTCAGTGCGTGTACGAACAACCTAATCTAGTTGTGGACCAACAACACAGTAGTAACATGTATGCACAACCAAACTTCTACACCGAGCAGCATGACTCACCTTGTCAAACACCGTTAATGCAGGTAAATGGTCATACATTCTGGTTACCATTTGAAATGTAGTCTGAAATTCACACGGGAGTTGTCTTGCAGGAATCTCTTATTCCCAGCACATACCATGAGGCTGTCTCAAACGCTACTCAGCTGAGGCAGGTAACTGAGCTAGAGGTCAACAATGCAGTAAGTGAGCTGATACCATCTTTACTTATTAATTTCATGATTGAGATGAATATCAGTGTCTACTGGTATAACTGACCCTGGCGTTTTGAGTTTTTGTTGCAGGCCATGGAGGTTGGCATTCAACACCCACATTCATCTACTTTCTTGCTTTATGATAACAGATACCGAACTTCTGACAATTCATTTCTTGGGCCCAAGTAATGAGGATGTCTTCCGTCAGAAATTTGTATATTGTACCTGTACAGCATCATTTTTCTTTGAAATCCAGTCAATATAATTGAGGTTGAATAAAAGGTGGTTTTTTTTTTTTTCAAGGCCATGTTGAGGTTGGATGTATAGAGGTGGAGAATGCTACCTCTCCATGGAGGCACCCTGCCTCTAAAATCTGGGCCTTTAGATTAAGTGGAAAAGAAATCATAGATATGAAGAAAAAATCAGAAATTTTTTAGAACTTATATCTTTTCCAGCATGGGTGGCATGTTAGAGTTTCCTATAGAGGTAGCTTTGCGGCTTATTTACGCGGTGAATGTGCAACTTGTAAGATGAAGATATACAAGGCCTAAAAGAGGCGATGCAGTCTTGAGGGAAGTTTTATTAGATAATGGTGGAGTTTGACTAATGTTAGAGAAGTATTAAAGAAGTTAATGGTAAATAACTTGAAAGTTTAGAAATAACAATAGCAAGCAAGCATGACCCTTATTCCCAAAATACAAAACTTGGTTGGAAATTTTAGCTGTATCCTTTGTTCAATGACATTGTGTAAAAGGCAATTCGTAAAATTGTTATTCTTTAAGATGGTTTCCCCTTTCCCTCAAGTGTTAGTCAAACCCTTTCTCGTTTTCTTGGTAAATTTCGATTGTCAAACATCACTTTCAATGGCTCATGAGCAAACTACTGTTGAAATAATCATAATTATAATTTGTAATTAAGTGTGCAAGAACAGAGAGTTCAACTGCGCACCAAGTACTACAAGTTTGTTTCAGCTCAAACTTCTAAGCGAAGGTTTTTTCAACGGGTTTAAACTACGGGTTGACTCGGTCTTCAATTCAGTTTGGGCTCCAAACTCCAAACATTTTGTTTTTGGGCATTTAAAATCGTGGGTCCCCCATCCCTTAGGCCTTCCTGCGCGTGCTTCTCATTCTCTTCACACGCGCGTCAATTTTCCAAGGTTGGCGTTTTCTACGTCTCCTCATCCCCATCTCAAATATAAATCCGCAGTAAGTACGCAATTGCCCATGCTCTCTCCATTTGCTCCCTCCCCACTCTCTCAAGCTTTATACCTGCTTCTAAGAGAAAAAAGAAACGAGTAATTGGTATGTTCCCTTTAAACAAAGCTTTAAAACCACTGGCGGTTTTCGGGCAATGACATATGGGCCTTCTCCGGCGAATTTTTGGCCCCAAGAAGACGGAGAGTACGCCGTCGGGGAGGGAGAGGAGGAGATGGAGCTTCACGAGATCTTCCAGCGGGATGCTGTCCCAGTTCAACAAGCGAGACGCGCCGTTGCCTCAATGTGAAGGCAACTTGGACGCTAACAAGCATGCCATAGCGGTGGCTGCCGCTACTGCTGCGGTGGCAGAGGCCGCTCTCGCCGCGGCTCATGCGGCGGCAGAGGTGGTTAGGCTCACTAGTGGTGGTGGAAGGAGCTGTGGCCCCTCGGCGCACGTTAGCGTGAGCCATCAACGTTGGGCACAGGAGACTTTCGCTGCGGTGAAGATACAGTCGGCTTTTCGCGGTTATCTGGTTAGCAGTTTTATTCTCTCTCTCTCTCTCTCGCTCTCTCTCTCTCTCTCTCTCTCTCTCTCTCTCTCTCTCTCTCTCAAAGACTTACTGGTTTCATTTTTCAAACCTTCCTCTTTAGAGCTATTATTAGCCATCATAATTAGTGACCTTCTCTCGAGACTTATTACCTATCATTATAGCTTATTAGCTGCCGGGAAATGCAATGAACCTGAACTTCCTTCTTTTTGAATTTTGACTATCGCTTACGCACTGGAAATTATTATTATTTTTTCCCTCAATTTCTCCTCAAATTTGAAGTAGCAAAAAAAAAAAATCTTAACATATTAACCTGCCACATGTGTTTGGAAACTTTTTTCAAAAATTTAAAATCCATTTCTCGTTCCACTTTTTTTTTTTTTTCCCTCGAATGGGGAAAATATTACTGGGAACTATACCTTGTCATTTTCTCTAGTTTGTTATCTAAAATGGAAGAAATGCAAGAAGGAAAATGTCATTAAGCATCCAATTTCTTCTCCTTTGATTTTCCGGGTATGGGTAGTTCAACTTTTTCTTTTTCTGTACCAATTTTTGTAAACCATGGATGCGAGTTGGGCTCCTGGTCCCCAAAAAACGAAGAGTCAACAAGGAGTGGAGCAGACTAGAGAACAAATACCCAAGAAAAAAAAAAAAAGATTTGGGATGGCCACTGAATTGCGCCGACACTAGTGGGTGCCGGGTGGTCATTTCGCCATCAAGCTTTTTTTAGCAGAGAGAAATTTTGATTCCCTATTATCCACACCCCCCACACGATTTTTCTTTTTCATATTTACTCGGCTTCTTTGTAGTTTCTTCTTACCATGTTTCCCCTCCCAAAATCTAGAGGTGTACGTGCAATTTCTGCCACACGTGTATAGTTTCATAACCTAATAAGCCGAGTTGCACGCCCTTGTAAAGCGCGTGCTTATATCTAATGTTGGTGTATAGAAACTTGGTGAATCTGGAGACTGGGGTTTTTTGCATATTTCATAGTTACAGAAGATTTTGTTTCAGTATTTGCGTGCCTCAACTGAAAAAAGAAAATTATGTTTATTAAACTTGAGTTAGGAAAATAGAAAATAAATACGCAATCTTAAATACACTGGTAAAGTAATTTTTACCTATTTTACAACATCCTTTTATAATTTGTGAAAGGAAGCTGATAATCTGTGTTGACTGTGGAGTTCATGAAGATGGTGTCGGCACGTGAAACTGTGCAGTCGGTTTGATCCTATTCTTTTCTAAAATTGCACCTTAAGTAAATAATTAAATGTAAGACAATTACAAATTCAAGGCGAGAGCAAAGAGAATCAGGTGGACCTGGACCAGTTTGATCCATTAATAAGGATGAGTATTAGGTCATCAATTGCCGCAGCTTTTATGGGCCATTTTATTTGATGGCTGAGCTGGTTTACCCTCGGTCTTACCAGAAATGCAATCAGTGCTCCTCCTGGGTAATTGACTTTTTCGCCAAACTTTTCTATTTCTTCTCCACTTCAAAGCTGTCCCATAGGCAGCTATGTTTGGGAACTTGGAAATATTTCTTTTGGGCAAAGGGGATTCTGACAGGTGACATTTTTCAAAATCATTCAAGCTGTTTAGCCCTTTTTGTTGTTTATTATTTGGTTATTTGTTCAAACTTGAAGCTTTTAGGTTTTATAATGAAAACATCTCAAATTTCAGGGTGCTTTTCCATATACATTTCCCAGGTTAACCTTTGTGGTTCAGTGTGCAAGTATATTTTATTCCCTCTCTCCCCACACTCGATGTTCTTTTACTCTTTTGGATTGGGTTTAAACTTCACTTTGCCAATCAAATTCCAATTAGTTACTGTTGTAAATATTAGTAGCACCCCAGACTTCCAGTATTTTCTTCCCTCCTACCCTTCCCCTTTTTGATTTAAGTTTGGTTAGACAATGATCATGTCCTCCCTCCTTTTTCATTTTCATGATACTCTAGCTGCAGTGTCTTAAACTCCTAGGCTTTTGCACCATCAGAACCTTTTAACTTTGATGAAGTTAAAAAATCATATTTGTGTTTTCCTCGATTTCTGATGCACGCTCATGTTATCTTGTAGTTGTGCATTAATTTGTACCTTGCCATTTCCAGTGATCTACAATGAGCATGCTGATTTAATTTTTCGTTTTGAATTTTTCATGCTAATTCTGAAGGCAAGGAGGGCTTTGAGAGCCTTGAAAGCATTGGTCAAGCTTCAAGCCTTGGTGAGGGGTCATATTGTGAGAAAACAGACAACGGATATGCTTAGACGCATGCAAACATTGGTCAGGGTGCAAGCCCGAGCTCGTGCTACTCGCACACACATGTCAGAATCTTTTCACTCAGTTGGCAGGCCCCCCCATTCTCGGCATAATGTGAGTGACCTTCAATCTTGTTTAAATTTTAAACAATTATTAATTTCAAATCTGGTCATCTAAAAATCATGGCTTAAAAAGCTTGTATTAAGGTCTATAGCCTTCTGCATGGTCATCCTGACCTACGGTTACTTCTTACCAAATATTCATATTTAATTTTGAGGGACCGTGTGGTAGCTATATGGATCAGTTGCAGAACTCTAGTTATAGACACTTGGCCGGTCATTCCAACGTACTGTGCCTAGTAATACATTATGTCACTACCATATAGAGCAAAAGAGTTATTGATTACTTAACTACGTCCATTTGCACCTTCTAGGTTCCCCTGCAACTCCTGCCAAGAGCAAAAGCCAATTAGGTGCTTATAGAAGTAAATTTGATGGGCCATCAATTCTGAAGGCACCACTTAATTTTCATGAAACTATCTTAGAGATATATGTTGACATGGTCAGAGATTTATCTTCTAAATGTATATGTTACTTTTTTTTATGTGGAAATGATGCCCTTTGATTTCCAGAGATACGGTGCTATCACAATGCAGACCAATTTGTTGATTCTTACCCCTAGTCTTCACATTTTCTATATATAATTTTAAACCAAATCTTTTGTAAGAACAAAATGGATAGTGTTCTGATGGAAATGACTTGTAGCCTAGGAATTCTATTTTCAAACTTCTCATGCACAGGCACCATGAACAGTAATGCTTTGACTACAACCTCCGAATGTCAGTAAAAGGGTTTAAATTATGATTCATCATTCAATCTCAATTTCTATTTCAAAATCTGCAGAAGTGTAGTTCAAATTCGAATTTGAGGGAGATGATTGGTGTAGACAAAGTTCAGGTTGGCTCAAATTGGTTGGACCGCTGGATGGAGGAAAGTTTATGGAACAGCAATAGGGATGCTCCACAGAGACATGGGCATCTAGATGATGAAAAGAATGACAAGATTCTGGAAGTGGATACTTGGAAGCCTCACTTGAACTCTCATCAAGGTAGCAGGACCTTCCGAACATCTCAGCACAGTTTGGCTCCAGAACATAAAAATCACAGCTTTGTGACAAGTGATTCTCCAAAGAAAGTTGCCACTCAAGCTCTGAATTCAATGCCAAACGTCCCCCATGGGGAAGTTTATTCATTAGGGTCTCTGAAGTTTTCTGCAGGGAAAAATGATGTTACTTCAAGGACAGCGGACAACAGTCCACAAGTGCATTCTGCATCTTCTAGGCCTGGAAGCAGTTCCAGGAGGAATCCTTTTACTCCCACAAAGAGTGAGTACTCGTGGGGTTTCTTCAGCGCATACTCCAGTTATCCAAACTACATGGCTAACACAGAATCATCTCGAGCTAAGGTTAGGTCACATAGTGCTCCAAGGCAAAGGCTGGAGTTTGAAAAATATGGTTCGACGAAGAGATCTACTCACGAATACTGGGATTCAGAGAGATGTTTTACCCAACACCCCGACATTTGGAACAAAGCTTATCCAGCATTCGAACGCCCAAACAAACATGGAAATTCCAATCTGAGGTGATTACGGAGGTTTCATTTTCTCCCCTTTGTTTTGGAGTGTGTGGCAGCCATGCCAGAATTGTAATTAGTAGACTTCATTTTTACAAACTCTTATAGCTGCTTCGTCCAACCTTGTCTTTATTGTGAATGGACCACGATATCGGTACTAATTTTATTGTCTTCAGCATCTTTCAGATGCTGTTATGGTGTGCCTTGATAAAAGCTTATTGCTTTCGTCCTTGTATCATAGTCTCCTTATTACCAGTATGTGTTCTTGTGTTTTAGGTCCTTTAATCTAATTTAGCTCCTAATTCATATCTCTTTGATTGCACCAATCAGTCTGTCATTGCTTAAATCCTGTGAGGATCTTTTCTTGTCCGAACAAGACCATAGAACTTGTGAAAATAAACGACAAAAGGTTGCAAGGAAGTGTGTGGTAAAGCGGTAGCAGCCTAATTTCAAGAATCTATTTGATGACACCGACCCGAATATCTACATGTTCACAGTAATAAATATAAATACAACATCCATATGTGCTTTCTTCATCAGTTATCAGCTTTGTTCTATTATTGCCATATACGGACAGCTGCTTCTGAATTGCCTTGTATTGTCAACACTGCAGCTTAGCTTCAGCTGAACTTCTGGGCTTCGCATTTTTAGCCAATTATATATATATATATATATAGACGTACTTAACTTGTCTCTTTTCTTTTTCCCCAAATTATGTCTGTAGACAAAACCACGTACATCGTATTGAGTGTTCTTTGTAAGAAAGTTCTTTTTCCCCTCTTAAAATCTAAAAATATTCCCATGTGTTAGCAACCTTGAAAAAGCCATTATTCTGCAGAACTATTGTAAACATTAGTAAAAAAAACATAAGTAGATATGATTCCTCTTAGAAGTAAATCCAAGGCTTACATAGGGGTGCTGTAACACTAGAATACAAATGTTGTAATTAGATTAGTGGCAGCTGATGCAGTTTTTACCGCCAGATAAGTAATCTATAGTAGAACTAAATATACGTTTTGTGGGAACTAATTAAAGAGACATGTAATTTTTGTCCTGTTTAAAATGTACTGTACAATCACGGGGGTGGTGATACATATATATGTTTTTGAGTGTGTTGGTGTCCCATCAGCCATGGCTGTAAGGTAGGTGAGTGCAAAAAAAGGAATAAAGTGACAGTTAAGATTTTGCAATTTATCAAAACTTCCTAGGATACCAACACTAAGTTTGTCGTTAAATAGAACAGTGGATGAATCAGACCCAGAAAAATCTAATCACCATATATATATTGTTGGATACGAAATCGATTAACCCCCCCATATTCAAGCCATTTGATGATTATATCATTAATTTTGCTCTTCGTTTTGTGGCCCCCTCGTGATCACAAACACATGCATCCATCCATTGTTTAAACAGTTCGCGGAATACCATTCCTCCAATTGAATCCAATCTAATAAACTAATTACTTGTAGCAAGATACCATTCTTACAGAGTTTGTTTTGATTGGGGCTTGGAAGGAAGAGTAAACTTATTACATGATATATATGAAGAAGCTTGAGATAAATGTCGTACGCTAATTTCTTAATTCTCTTGTCCAATCATTGTCATGTTGGATTCTACTGGAGCCTGAAAGGGGAAGCTGATGGACGATGATAAAAGATTAATTAATAAAACCAAAAAAAAAAACAAAAATGGAAAGAAGAAGAAGAAAAGAACAAGAGGAGTAGACAAACATACTAATTGCAGTCGGTATTGGGATCAATAGTAAAGCCCAGATCGACACCGCAAAGGCCAGGCAAAGTAGCAAGAGCAGTCGCATGTGGGTAGTAAGTTGTGATTAGGCCCATCAAGCACCCGCACACTGACCGCTTGTTAGCCACTGAGTCCGATATCACATGCAGGTTGTTCAGGGCGTCGCAGCATGGTGTTCCTGGTACCGGCTCTGGTGTCCCATAACTGATGAAACTGGAGCACCCAGATATTATTGCTGCCATGGTGCCGCACTCCACGGCCGCCCATGTGCACCCACCCCATGATATTGACATCATCGTCAACAATCCAATCACCAACTTCTCACTCCTCATTTTCCTTTTTCTACTTCTCTCCTTCACTTTCCTAATTTTATACCATCACATCACATTGAACCTCTTGGGTAGGTTTGCCACCAAAAACTTCTGCTCTTCATCAACTCTGCATGAACCCCTTCCTTCGACCGGTTTGTGCACATAATTTTCTCGTTAACACAACTCGCGTCAAACGGTGTCGTGGTGTAGTTGGTTATCACGTCAGTCTAACACACTGAAGGTCTCCGGTTCGAGTCCGGGCGACGCCATAACCTTCCTTTCTTTCCTTCTTTTTCTTTTCCTCATTTTTTCTCCGAGAAGAGTGAAGTGTTAAAAAGAAAAACTGAAACTAATTTTCACCGGTTCCTATTTATTATTACTTTGACGGAAATCAAAAAGTAGTTCTTGAGGTTTGCAGCAAAGAATGTCGTAATCTAATCTCCTGAGATGATTGTTTCTCTTTTTTTCTTTCGAGCTTTCCTTTTCTCCACTACCGGGAGTTTCCCCTGTGGAAATTAGTGTAAACAGTGAATCTCCCGGCTTTTGAAACTGAAATCTTTGGGGGTGAATGTTTTTAGTTTTGTGATGCAGCAGGCATTTGATTTCTCTCTGTTTGCCATCCATTTCGTTCTTTCCTTCATTTGTGATTACCACATTGAAGTTAGATGTGTAGATAGCCGTTATCCAAGACCAGGGAATTAGACTGGTACAGCAAGGAAGTGAGGACATGAGATCATTTTCTTGTAGTAACATCTTCCTTCTATAATTAATATTACTCTGCAGGTGGAGCAATGGTTGTATCCAAGATATAGCAATGTCATGAAGCAAAGGGTTACTCAGTTATCACCTGAGAACCATTTCTCTCTGATGCATATCGGACTTGTTCAAGAGAAACCTGGCTCTCTCTCCTTTAACCAGATGATTGGCTTTGCAAAAACATTGCAAGCATCTTTCTCTGTATATTCTACATTACAAACTTATGATACTCCAAAAAGAAACCTCTTTTAAGCTTTAGAGCACTCAATATATTTACCATTCTCTTTCAATCAGGGTGGTAAATGCTCCAGAGACGTTGGTCACTCTACTGCCCACAACATGAATTCTGTGAACACTTATGAACTAAATGTTGATACCAGTAAGCCCAATAATGAAGAGACTCAGAGCCTCAAAAACCAGATTCTTGGGACCTATCAGGCCACTCTTACTTCTTTGGTTTTTCCCAAATTTTGCTTCTCAACCAACATTAATGCAGTAAGTTGTAATGTACAGATAAATAAATATGTACTACAGGAATCAAACAATAATTTTTCTTAAGTTTAGAGAGCAAATCAAATAGAAAACAGAGCAGCATTCTGGTTCCTAAGCTACAATACATTTTTTTTTTCCGTTTCCCTTTTCCACCTACAACCTAGGAATTTTAGAAGTAGAGTCATATTTTTAAAAAATAATCATAAATAAAAATTAAAACGAAAAACCAATACACGAGTTCATCATTCATTACAATTCCATCTCGAGGTGGGTACACAATGCAGGTAGTGACACCAATGGCAGTGATCATTTCCATTCTCTCCCCGGAAAAGCATCACCAGTGCTATCGCGAATCTGCAAACCCATAAAAATGACAATGTTCTATAACACATTAGTAAAAGAAAAAAGTCAAGAAGACTGGCAATCAGACAATCAAGATATGCAACTATAACACAATAACCTAACAATAAAAATCGAAGAAATTTCTACGGAGAACAATGAAAAGATTAAAGTGACAAAATGAAGTCAGTTTCAATGCCCCACCACTACGTTGAACATCACATCCACACCCACACAACTCAAACAGCTCATCCAAACTTGTCTGCCTTTACCACAACATGAAAAATGCTAATAACCTGGAAAATCCAAAACTTTTTTGTCCCAAAACTATCCGCTGCTCCTAATCCCCAGAAAAAAAAAAAGATCTCTACACAAAATTCCATCACTTTAATATACAAAAACCATCAATCACTTACCCAGCAATCAGCAGAACCAGAGAAACGAGCCATAGTACATATTGATAGGTCTTGTACTTGGATTTTATGCGAGTACCAGCTTGAAGATTCTGGTTCTCCAGCCACCCAAATTGAGGGCGGGGCAGCAAGATAAATCCAAGGCAGAAACCAGCAAGAAATCCGCCAATATGCGCAAAATTATCAACATGAGGCAGAATCCCAATGGCAAGGTTAACGGCAATGATCACTAGAAGTGTGAGAAGTGCTGCAGCCTACATAAATATGAAAATTAATTCCAGAGAAGCCTCAATGGAATCAAATAAATAAAACATCATTGACAACTTGAGAGATATCATATGATACTGACCTTGTTTGCATAAAGAGACCAATTTGTAATGAGTTCCGAAAGCATTGCTCCTAGAAGCCCAAAAAGAGCCCCGGAGGCCCCTACGGAGATGTTATTATGGATAAATAGAGAAGACAGTACACTGCCACCAAATCCCGACAAGAGATAAATAACCCCAACTCGAACTGCCAAGAGATGGAAATTATTGGAAGTTATAAACAAATCAAACTGTGAAATTTATTGAATAACTACTATGTGTGCCATTTAGTTTCAAGATTCTTACAGAACAAGGTGCGTCTTTTAAAGAAGCTTCAAAAATTAATTTGAGATGAGAAAAGTTTTAACATACCGAACCCAAACTGCTGTTCAAGGCGAATGCCAATGAAAACTAAGCTCAGCATGTTTGCAAGAAGATGAACTATTCCAGCATGCAACCACACACAAGTCACAAGCCTCCACCATTGATGCTTTTCCACAATTTTGCTCCAATCAAGAGCTCCCAACTTCTCCAATCTTCAAAAGTAGTTTCAACAATTTTAAAAAAGGAGAATCTTATGAACCAAGGAGATTTTTAGGTGGTAAACTTGTTAGGAACTTAGTATCAGAACACAAGCCCAAACAAAGCCCCAAGTTCATTGAAATCCCATTTTGACTATAGCTTCCTGCCAGAGCAATCCCAACTAAACAAATTCCCGAACAGCTATTGGGGAAATCAATTCATAATGATAGTAAGAGATGTATTTTGGGTTTAACATATCAAGAAAAGAAACACAAGTACAAGCAAACAAGATTTCAAGTTTTCTCGCCTGAATCCGCAAATAAATGAGAAAAAAATATTTAAAATAGTAAATAAATTTCTAGTAAATAGCAGACCCAGAAAATATTTAGCCAATCGATCCTTTCATTCACACACGGTCAATATAATGAGAGCGTTTTCTGCTGCTAATCATGCAGGCTGCAGCCCTATAGTTAAAAATCCTCACACACCAACTCTGATTTTGTTGAAGCAAGAAAGAGAAAGCCATACCTAGTAGTCATCTCACTACTGATACAACGAGATCACAAGAAGATCTCAACTAAAAAATTCTCAGTATATAAATTGTGGAGAGGAAAATCATAAATCACTTAACAACCACACCATGGGAAAACAGTTATATCAAGAAAACGATAAAAGCCTCCAAATTTAAGACAGAAAGCACAAACCCCCATTAAGATCTCACACCAATTCCAGCAAATTTGAAAGAGAAAAAGATGCAATTAGGTAGAAGGAAGCAGAATAAAGAGTGAGTGAAATTACGTATGAGAAGAAGGACCGAAGAGAGGATTCACCCGCAAAGGCTCAAAGGAGAACCTCCCCAGAAACTTTGCTACGCAGTTTCCCTCAACAGCATGATTGTGGTGCTTAGGACAGTCGTTGACAAACATGACAACAACGAAAACGGCGACATTGGCGACAACAAACATGGGAACCAGCCATGAAGTCCACTGTGTCTCCGTCTCCTCAATCACATAAGTCGATGATGACGAGTACCCACCGGCTCGGTTCTTTACTCCTCTGTTCTCAATGTCTTGCATGTTGGTTGCCCTGTGAGAATCAGGAAACCCACAACTTTCTCGCTTCTTGTGTTACTAACTCTACCTCTGCCTGGCAGGTAAACGAGATTAAATATGAAGAAAGTTGGTAGAGAGAGGGAGAGAGAGGGAGAAGGTGGGTGGTTTCTTTTCAACTGCATAATCAGTCTGGTTGTTAAACGTGCAAAACTGATTTGGATCGCCTGAAGACCAAACGTCTATGTTACTTGGAATAATGTTTTCCAAGTCAGCTTCTTTTTTACGCCAAGACAGAAAAAAAGATACCAGGATTTACATGTATGGACAGATTACTGGTTTAAAAACACCCTGAACTGTGAACTGAACTGAATAAACAGGCAGGGTACTTTCTAGTTCCTTTTTTGTTGGTTTTCACGATACTAAGAGAAGATGACGAGAAGCCAGCCATTAATGGCCCAGGACAAGCCCTGGCTTCCATTCCAATTCCAAATCCAATTCCATGCTTTATTTACACCTAAAATATAAATTTACAATTTTATTCCCTGAAAATGTTATATATTACATACATCTTCCCTTATCAGTGCGCGGGCAATTTACAGACGCCTTGCCCACACTCAATTATGCAAAGTAAACCATGCATTGATGTTGGTAAAAGAGATTCTAATCCTACTTTTATACATTAATTAATATTTTGGCAGCCATTTAAAACTGCTCTCGTACCAAACGCAAAGCTGTAAGTATAATACTGAAATTAATTTGGTGATAGGAACTGATTTGCTGCTGCAGATTTTCCTTGCCATTCAACTTGGGGAAAAACAATTCTCTTTCACCTCAACATTCTTTGTTTCTCCTGTACTTAGAATTTCCAAAGTCAAATACCCTTATGCATCCCCAAGACTTTCTTCTCTCTACTTGAAATTGACCGCCAAGCAACTACTTCAGAAATTTTATATCACATTTAACCCAATTGGTGAAATTTAATTAATAAATTTTCATAAATTCTTGTACATTTAACGAATTATCTTTCGTCAATATTAAAAAATTAAAGAGTAAAAAAATTAACTTACACCAAATATAATATTTTTACTACCATACATGCTATCAGAGTTAGGAAGGTTAATATGGGTGACTCGATTCAGGTTACCTTGAATTTTCTTAATTTAATTATAGGAAATATGGGTAATTGTATTTATATTATTGTAATAAAAATATATTAAACGATGAGAATAAATTTTATTTTTCATTATATTAATTCTCTATTTAGTACTAAGAGATTTTCTCTGCTTTTAATAATTTATTACAATAATCTTGTAATTTATATTAAATATTACACTTACAATGGTTCACAAAATATGAAGTTTTCTCTTCAATTTTAAAAAATTTAGTGATTTTTGCATATTACAAGATATGAAAAAGAAAAAATTAAAAAAAAAAAAGTTGGCAATCGCATAATCATAACTGACGTAATTGCAATTAAATCTTAATTTAAAGACGGTTACGTGTGTAATCTCATTTTGGTTCACTTGAAATCTTGGCATGCGTTTATTAGCATTAATTAATTTGATAATATTATTAATATGTAATGAGTGCCAATATTAAATTCAGTAGATAATATGCATACCCACAAAAAAAAAAAAAAAAAAAAAAATCCCTTATATTTCTTCTTCTCTAATAATCATCAATGATTACCACATATTTAATTTTTAATATTTATTGGTTTATAAAGGGGTCATCGTTAACTACAAAATTAATCAACCCCCTTTTTGTGTAAACATGTAAGAAATTAATAATCATTCTAATGAAATGATTGTAAATTGTACCGTAGTCAAAATCCAATGTTGTTTTGGATATTGGATATTGTTGGTGTAAACGAAATTTACTGATTAATAAGAATGGATTAATAATTATAGAATTTTGTAGTAATTATTATACTTTGTAAACCTTTTTAAATACAAAATATTGACATTTAAAGTTAAAAAATAATAAAATCAAATGACGTGATATTAAAATGTCCTAAAATCTAAATGTAATTATAATAAATTATAGAAAAAAAAAAAAAAAAAAAAAAAAGGAAGAGGAACCAATCTGGTTAAATTTAAAAAGGTGACGGTCAAAATTGGACATAACCAGAACCAGGAGGCCTAAAGTCACGCCAGAACTGGATTTTAAGGAAAATCTAGAGCCTGTCCTTATCCCCATTTACCCATTCCTAAGTTACCATTTTCCCCATCCTTGTTTACTGCGTAGTCCTCCTCCCCTACACCTGTCGTCCTCTCATTGGACGTCTTAGGAAATTTGGAGGTTTTGTCGTACGCACAAAACCACAAGCGGTCAACTGAGGACATTTTGGAGATCGCGCGGATAGGCGCGTGGGAAAAGAGCCGAGTCGGACATCACGAACTGGTTTGAGGAGCGAGTGGGTCCACTCCTCTTCTCTCCCAAGACCCTTGATTTTCTATCTCCTTCATTATATAATCTCTCTCTCTCTCTCTCTGTGAAAGGACGGAAAAGTGTGCATGGAGGAAGCGGGGAGGCAGTAAAGAAGACAGAGAGAAGATCAATTTTCAATTCTTTTCGGGATTAAGTCGAGACATTAGCGATTAAGATAAAGCGGACCCATTTGACTGTACTGCACGATCTTCTCCTCTCTTCACTTCTTTGGTTGCTTGTCCATATCCCCGCCCCAAAAAAAAAAAAAAACAACAGTCCTCTGTAAACTGTAAGTCAGCTCCATTACCATTATTTTATTTACCGTCTTTGTTGTTTTAGAGAAGATGAAGCGAGATAGGATCTTATAATCTTCTGTCTCATTTTTTTTAATGGATAAAATCTGCATCTAATATATTTTTTATTTTTCCTGTGCAGAGTGGGGTAGTACTCAGAGAACTTAGCTTTCTGTCAAAAAATTAAAAAAGGTATACTGTACATCCGTACTGGGTTTTGTTTGTTCTATATTGTATTTTTCGATTTCATTTCTTCTTGCGAGTTGTGAGGTAGGGAGGGTCAACTGTGTCTTTTTGCTCTATTTTTTTGATTGGCATTGTTCACTTTTTAAAAGTCTTTCGTGTTCGCAGTGTGAAGGCGAGGGCTATGTTTTCTCTTTTCCTTGTAGCCTTTTTGTTTTGTATGCCTTTTTCCTCTGCCATCTGTTTTGTGAGCCCTTTTCGTTTTCCTTCTTTTTGGGGCCTTTGTTAATAATACTGACAAATAATTGGTCAAGCAAGCCGTGTAGGCTTGATAGCAAGAAATTAGGGTTTGTTCATATTTGTCAGTCTTTCTTCTCCTCCGCTTGTCCCTCAGCTTTTTCCTTTTCCTTGGTTTTACACGTATAACAACATTACAAATGAAACTCGTGGGGGATTCTGGATCTTAAAAAGAAAAAAGAACACACACAAACAAAAGGGCTTTTCTTGTCCTTTTATTGAACATCCTCTTATCTATAAGCAGAGTTTTATTGAGATAGGGTTGAGTCGTGCATGGGCGTTGACAAGGAGACAGCTTTTTTCCTTTTGTCTTTTGTGGACAATACAATGGTATATTTCTATTGTTTAGCTGAATCTGGGTTGTAGTTTTAAGTCAAACTCAATTGACAAAAAAGAGAGACTGAATCTAAGCATACCATTGTGAAAGTGATAGAGCACATTTCAAAGAACCTGGACATATTCTGAGATACACAGAGTGAAATATAAGGAAAGTGTCGAGAAGAAGAAAAGAGTTTATTTTTCATTATTTTCTGTTCTAATGAATTTTGGGGGTCTGATCAAAAGTAGTAGCAGTAGCAATACTGCTGTCGTTTCGAGGATTGTGGCTGCTATTGGTCCACAAGGCAACATGCCTGGTGACGCCATTGCTCAGCCACCTCTTTACACCCAACAACCTATTCCCAAATCTATGCGGACTACTACTATTCCCCTTTCACTCTCCATCGTATGCCCCTTTCTCTCGTCTACTACTACTACTCCTCCCTCATAACTTTCACTTTGACTCATAACCAAGTTTATTGCTTTTTTTTTTTTTTTTTCCTTCTGTGTTGTTCCTTTTGCCTTTTATTTGTTTTACTGTTACATGCTTTTCCTTGTTGAGATTTGGCGCAGAAGAGCAAGATGGACGATCATGATGAGCTGGGACTGCTCGGGGAAAATTTTGATCCAGGCCTAATTGGGAGGATGAGGGAGGATGGCTATGAGAGCAGGTCAGGAAGTGACAATTTTGAAGGTGCATCTGGTGATGATCAGGATGCTGGAGAAGATGAACCGCCGAGGAAGAAGAAGTACCATAGGCACACTCCTCATCAGATACAAGAGCTTGAATTGTGTGGCTTCTGTTGTCCATTTTTCTCTTATTCTTTTGCTTTAGGCGATTATTCTTCACATATTGGTATCTTTTGAATAACTGGAACTTGTTTAGTTTCTTCAAGGAATGTCCTCATCCTGATGAGAAACAAAGGTCAGAACTTAGCAAGAGGCTTGGCTTGGAGAATAAGCAAATCAAGTTTTGGTTTCAAAATCGGAGGACCCAGATGAAGGTACCTTGTTGTACTTTTCAAAATAAAATTGGCCTTGTTTTGTTTTGAGATGAATTTGGATTGCAAGACAACAGTTTTTTTTATCATATATTCTTCTTTCTCTTTAAATCAGACCCAATTGGAACGTCATGAGAATGTGATTCTTAGACAAGAAAATGATAAACTTCGAACTGAGAATGAATTGTTGAAGGAAGCAATGAGGAACCCAATGTGCAATAACTGTGGTGGACCAGGAATGGCTGGTGAGATATCATACGAGCAGCATCAGCTGAGGATTGAGAATGCTAGACTAAAAGATGAATTAGGAAGAGTTTGTGCTTTAGCAAACAAGTTCTTTGGTGGGCCAATGTCTTCCTTGGCTAGTCCTGTCCCTCCTTCATGTCTAAATTCCAATTTGGAGCTTGCTGTAGGCAGAAATGATTTCGGTGGCATGAGCACTACAGGAACAACTTTGCCAATGGTACTTGAGTTTGGTGACGGGGCTTTGATGCCTTTGATGAAACCAATGGGCAACGAAATGGTCTATGAGAGATCTATGTTTGTAGATCTTGCATTGGCAGCTATGGATGAATTGATTAAGATGGTTCATACAGACAGTCCCCTTTGGATCAAGAGCTTGGATGGGCGGAGGGATCTTCTGAACCATGAAGAGTACATGAGAACATTTTCTCCTTGTATTGGTATGAAACCCAATGGCTTTGTATCTGAGGCTTCTAGGGAAAGTGGATTAGTGATCATCAACAGCTTGGCTCTTGTGGAAATGTTGATGGATGCGGTATGCTGTTGCTGTTTAGCTGATGCTGCTTTTTATTAACTAGGGCTTAATTAGTAGCAAATTCATTTAGAAGTCATCTTTTTCATGACCTTTGTCATGGTAGATTACATCTAACATTTATTTACTGCTTTGGTTTGTTTCTTCTTTCCCTTTCCGGTTTGGTTAGAAAGAACAAAATGAAAAAATTGTTGACTAGGAATTGTGTTGTTCTACTGTTTTTATTGGCTATGGAATTTATTATAATGTGCAAGGGTTGAATTGTAGTTTCTGAATGATAGTTTTATTTCTGTTCTGTCAACAGAACCGATGGATGGAAATGTTTCCTTGCATAATTGTTAGAGCAGTGACCGTTGATGTAATATCCAGTGGTACTGGTGGAACAAGAAGTGGTGCTCTCCAAGTGGTATATATATATATATATATATATGTATATTTCAGCCATATTTCATTTTGATTTTGTACCACGAAGCCAGAGTTCATGTAGATTGTATGCTGCTGCAGATGCAATCTGAATTTCAGGTGCTCTCACCGTTGGTACCTACTCGTCAAGTGAGGTTCCTCCGATTCTGCAAGCAGCATGCTGAAGGCGTGTGGGCTGTGGTTGATGTTTCTATCGATATTACCCAAGATGGTCCAAATGCACAGCTGCATGCAAGCTGCAGGAGGCTTCCTTCTGGCTGTATTGTACAGGACATGGCGAATGGCTGTTCCAAGGTAGTAAATGTTTATGTAATTTTTCAACTTGTGCTTATGATTATAAAATTTAATCTTATATGTTTTTTTTTTCATGTAATTTAGTTTGCATGGCTTTGATAATTACTGAACTTGTTTTCTAGATTTTCAGTAGAGCCAGGTTGAGTCAACACCAAGGTGAAATTATGAGTAATTGAACTTAGAATCTCAATCCACTTTGACTTGTGTCCCCTAGTACTTAATTTGTTTTTATCAATACCCAAAAATATGTTATCTTTAATGTGACTTCTCTTAATAAAATATAGAGGACTTTTACCCAAGAATCTGAAACTTTTATTGTTATATTACTGAAGCAGATGCCTGATTTGGTTAAATATTCATATCTTCAACTTCAACGGTAAGGTTGTCTATTTTTTTTCGGTATTTAATTAGTCTACTGCTACCTTAGGAGGAGCGTGAATCAAGGACACTTTGTATTTTAATATTGTTCTTAATTATATCTATTCGTGCTCAGAATCTTTATAACCAATTAAAGAAATTCTCGGAATCATAAAATTGTTTTGGTTCTTTATAATTTATTTATCTGATGTTTCTATTCCCGTCTCTTCTCTCTTAATCTGTGTTTGTTTGTTTGTGTTCTTTCTTTCTTTTTTATTGCAAACGAGGCAATATGACCTGGATCTAGTCACTATATTGCCATCTTTCAATTCCTTCACCCTGCATTGCATTTTTTATTTTAATAATGTCACCATTCCATCTTTGTTTGTCATGTCTGCTTGATCTTTGACTTATATAATTTGTCCTTATCTATATCTGATAATAGCCTTGGATTTTACTCTTGCAATGTGGTTGCACCAATGAATTGTCTTTTGGTCGTGTTTGGCTATGCTTCCTATACTAGGTGGTGCACGTTTTTTTCTTTCCTGACTTCATGCGAAGAAATGTCCATTGTACATGATAGAAAATTTCCTCTTCTTTTATTGGAAGTCAAGAGATGGGACAAGAAAGCACATGGTTTTGGCCTTTTATTGCTGATAGGACCTACTACAGAGCTCTGGACCGGTTTTGTTGAACAGATGAACTTCACAAACACGAAGTTTATATTTTTATTCGCATTCTATATGGAATAAAGGTTGTGTGAAATCTATTTACATGCACACTAAAAGATTTCACCTTGACACTTGTCGAAGCTACATTAAAAGTTTATCTAATTGGCATATATGGATGAAAGAAAAAGGAGCTATTTTCAAGTAACTCTTCCAAATCTGCTGAGGTTTCTTTTTCTTGTTGAACGATACATCAGTTTTGATGGTTGACGGGGGATGCTGATGAAATGTTGAAATGCACAGGTTACTTGGGTAGAACATTCCGAATATGACGAGAGTGCAGTTCACCCACTGTACCGGACATTAGTCAGTGCCGGGTCGGGGTTTGGTGCACATCGGTGGATTGCCACTCTACAAAGGCAGTGCGAGTGCTTGGCAATCCTCATGTCCTCTACTCTCTCAACTGAAGATCACTCAGGTATTTCTTTTTCTACGTTTCCATTGTCCTTGTGTATATTAATAGGTAGTTTTAAATTTTGATGATGTGGTGCAGGATTTAGTGCAGCGGGTAAGAAAAGCATGTTAAAGTTGGCACAGCGAATGACGTATAACTTCTGTACGGGGGTCTGTGCATCGAGTGTGCGTAAGTGGGACAAGCTCCAAATAGGGAATGTGAGTGAAGATGTGAAGGTAATGACGCGGAAGAACATAAACGAGGCGGGTGAGCCCCCTGGAGTTGTGCTGAGCGCAGCAACTTCAGTGTGGATGCCGGTGACACAGGAAAGATTGTTTAATTTCCTGCGTGATGAGAGACTGAGGAGTGAGTGGGACATATTGTCAAATGGGGGACCAATGCAGGAGATGCTTCGCATTGCCAAGGGCGAGGAACGAGGCAACTGCGTCTCCCTCATGCGAGCTAGCGCAAATGATGGTAACGAGAATAGCATGCTAATACTACAAGAGACATGGAGTGACGCGTCGGGGGCAGTAGTGGTGTATGCACCCGTTGATATATCGTGCATAAGTGTGGTGATGGGTGGTGGGGATTCGACGTACGTGGCACTTCTGCCGTCGGGATTTGGAATTGTGCCTCTGCCACCAAACAAGTGTAAAGGAGCCGAAGGATGTATTCTTACAGTGGGATTTCAGATATTGGTGAACAGCCTTCCGACGGCGAAGCTGACAGTGGAGTCGGTTGAGACGGTGAACAATCTCATCTCCTGCACCATTCAAAAGATCAAGGCGTCTGTGTCCTTAACCTCACCATAGGAGAGGAGTTGGCACGAAAGAGGTGTGGAGTCAAGAACGAACCGCGGGTGCACACAATACATACATAATTTTTGTTTTTGTTTTCTTTTTTTCGTGATAGTTTGTGGTTCGGGTATTGACTTTTTCATCAGCAACTAAATTATTATTAGATTCACAAAGTCTTAAAATCGGGAGTATTTTGCTTTCTCTCTTTTGGTGGTTCAACAAACTATCCACCCACCAAAACTCACCAATTAACATCGATTTTTATAAAATCTGTCTCAACCCACTTGAGTCCACCCCACAGGGTTTTTATATTTTCTGCTAAATTTTGTTTTCTTATTCCTTGGAAAACCCCATCTGCCCAAACATGACTAGTAACTGTTCGTCAACTTTCTTCTTCCGTATCCTTAATTAAAACCCAATAAAAAAAAAAAAAAAAAATCCCATTTTGTCGAACACCATCAAGAGAATGGATCTTTAAAATCCTACCAACATGAGGAATTATTACTACATAAAAGCAGCAAATCATTAGTTCGATATAATATTTGCATTTTTAACATTGCGAAATATGAAAAAGGGTGAGAAAGGAATAAGTTTAAAAATTTGTATTACTCCTCGGATGTGAGGGCCGGGCACTCATCCTCTTTTTTTGGTTTTTGCTGTTTTGCTTTCCTGCCAAATCAACGGCCCACATTCCCCACCTAACTCTCCCAATCCATCGGCGTAAATCCCGAGGTTAAATTGCCGGGGTTGCTCTTATCTCATGCCCGCCCCGCACCCTTCTTACTAAATAGCCCCGGGCTTCAACCGTCCGATCCCCCATCATGACTTGTTGAACTTCCTCCGCGTGTACGATCTCTAAAAAGGAACACAATTTTTGACCCTTCAATGCACGACCTCCCATTGTAGACATACCTACTCTCTGCCACGTGGGGCCTATCAGGAAAGCTTACCAATCAGAGAATGCCACGTGGCGATAACCGTAAGAAAGTCGGAAACATCGGGAAGAGAACCGGAAAAAAGGAAATTAATAGAGTTTGGATTTTGAAAATAGCTGCTGCTTTTTTTGGGTATTTAAATCTAAAATTGCTCTTAGTGAAATAATAAAATTTTTATTTTTAGGCAATAAATATCCTTAAATCACAAGGCAAAAGGGTTTGAGTCAATTACCAAAAGAGAAAATAAAAAAATTAATAATAATAATAATAATAAAAAGGGATTAAATCCAAGAAGTTTGAGCACAACTGTCAAGCAATTTGCTAATGTGGGGCCCCCCTTCATTGAACGGTGCGTTTTCTATTTTTAATCGAAGAACCGAACGAATTGTATCAAACATTAACGGACAGATCGGCCAAAAACATCCTGCCATTTGCCTGTTAATCCTAAATACAGACTTTCAAACCCAAAAAAAAAAAAATATATGAAAAAGAAGCAAATAGCAGGGAGATGAAGGAAGGGTAAACTGGGAACCTCAAATTTATATCTATCTATCTTCTTCCTTCATCTCCATTGCGCAGTGAAAAAAAAAAAAAAAATTAAGAGCAGCAATTAAACGCGAAGCAAGAACGAAAAACAAGTGGCAGTAAGTTCCGCAGATATTATTCCAACGAACCCCACAACTTCTGTTTTTGTTTTTGTTTTTGTTTTTGTTTTTGTTTCGGGTAATTAAGCCTTTGATTTTACTTGTTTCTTCCTTTCTTCAAGTCCGTTCAACGACAGTTGACCTAAATACCAAAATCATTCTCAAAACCATAACAGGCCAACATGGAGAGAGTTTTTTAGAGAGAGAGAGAGAGAGAGAATTCGCCGTCTTCGCGCACAAAGAGGTAAAGGCGGGAGAGAGGGATAAATTGGGAAATGGGTAATTCATTTGGCTGCTCAGCTTCGGGTGAGCGATTGGTATCGGCGGCGAGAGACGGGGACTTTGTGGAGGCAAAGATGCTCTTGGATTGCAACCCGTGTCTTGCTAAGTATTCCACGTTCGGTGGTCTCAACTCTCCTCTCCATTTCGCTGCAGCCAAAGGCCACAATGAGGTTTTTCTTTTTCTTGTTTCCCTTCTTTTTCTGTTGGCTTTCATTTGATTGATTTTTCATGTTTTATTGACTGAAGATGTTCTTCGGTGGCTTTTTTGCTAGATTGTTGGGTTGTTGCTTGAGAATGGAGCCGATGTGAATTCCAGGAATTACTGTGGCCAGGTACCGGATTCAATGGTTTTCTAATCTCGGTTTTGCATTATGTGGATGTATGACCATATATGTTTTGGGGCCTCCGGAATCATGCTTTGATTTGAACAAGCAACAACCCTGAATTTATTTGTTGAGGGTTTAATTTTCTTTTTTGTTTGTGTTAAATTGCATGTACTTGGGATTTCAAATTGAACGTCTTTTGAGACATTTGAAATGGAATTCTTTGTCAGCCCACGTAAAGAATCTAACAGCAAAACCTTGTGTTTTAAAATTCATTTAGATTTGAATTCTGATTTCAATAGGTCGTCATCGGCAGCGTACAAGAAGTAACACCTGAAATCTAATATTTAATAAACAGCAAAATGATTTTGATTACATTGAGGCTGCCTGTTGATTCGTTCTTTTTATTGTCTCTCTGAAGACGGCATTGATGCAAGCTTGTCGCTATGGGCATTGGGAGGTTGTGCAAACTCTTCTGCTCTTCAGATGCAATGTGAGCTTTGTTTCTGTCAAACTTGCTTTATTTTGGTAAATTTGATGTGCCTTCCCAACTTGGGCATTGGAGGCTGTACAGACTACAATCTCTTGTTCTGTTCTTATACAAATGTCAATTGATCATCCTATCTATTGTTTCCTTACAGGTCACAAGAGCTGATTATCTCAGTGGGAGGACAGCTCTTCATTTTGCAGCTTTAAATGGGCATGCTAGATGCATAAGATTAGTTGTGGCTGACTTTGTTCCTAGTGCTCCTTTTCAAGGTCTAACTACTCAGATAGAAGCTGACAGTGGGAATGGTGATAGCGTGAGAACAAAAAATGACCAAAGGTGCATGCTTCAGTTTGATATCTTGCCGGTTTTCTTCTATGCTAGAGATCCATTTAATTGAGTGAGAAGCCATGTTCTTTCATGTAATAAATAATACTTGATAGACTAGTCCATAGTCGGTTTGTTATCTTTTGTTGGTACAGTGACTATCTAGATTCTTCCATTATTTTAGATTGTGTGAAATCTGTAATCTACAAAAAAAGAAAAGAATTCTATGCTTTAGATTAAAGGATATTATTATATGTTGTTTCATCCTCTTACATATGCATATCTGAAGCTCTGGTCGTTGTTCTCTTTCTTAAGTTACTCGCTGTGTGCAGTGCACTGTCCAAGTTTGTAAATAAAGCCGCTGATGGTGGGATAACTGCTCTTCATATGGTTGCACTGAATGGGTATTTTGATTGCGTACAGCTCTTACTAGATCTTCAGGCAAATGTCTCTGCTGTGACATTTCATTATGGAACATCAATGGATTTGATAGGTTAGCTTTTCTGTTTGATACTTAATTTTATTTTGCAAGTTTAGCTTTTGTCTTACAATGATATAAGCATATTTACTTGTAGGGGCTGGAAGTACTCCTTTGCATTATGCTGCTTGTGGTGGGAATTTGAAATGCTGCCAGGCAAGAATAATGCTAACAATTAGTAACAGTTCCAGAGTCACAGTTTATTTTTCTTGTGCAGTTTGAGATGATGTATTCTTATTCCTGCAGATTCTCCTTGCAAGAGGTGCAAGTCGGATGACTTTGAATTGCAATGGGTAAATAGTGTTATGATCTTCTTTTTTGCTCATCCTTGGACTGACTTGTGTAGCTAATATTCTCAGTCCTCTTTCCTGAAAAAAAATCTCAGTACTTCAAGCTGTGTGGCTAAAAGGAGATTTTATGTCACTTTTTCAGGTGGCTGCCTCTTGATGTTGCCAGGATGTGGGGGCGTCATTGGCTTGAACAGTTGCTGGCACCTAATTCTGATTCCGTCATACCACGATTTCCTCCTTCCAGTTACCTATCTCTACCTCTTCTGAGCGTACTTAACATAGCAAGGTGAGTAGGAACACAATTATCATTTGTATTCAGAAATGCAATTTGGCTCAGATACTTATGTTGATTCTTTTGAAATTGAGTTGTCAACTTTTTTATGCTTCAAATGTTAGAAGTTTGTTTCATGTAGGTTGGTTACTAGTTGAATATTGAAGCTGGAAACAGTCAAGTCTAATATGAGTTGATGCTTGCACCTGATATTCACACTTATGAAACAGTTAATGATACATATCTAGGATCGCTTGCCCTAGGCTGGAATCTTTTCTTCACCAATATATTTGCTTCATTACTACTTTCTAAGAAGAGCCATAAAGAAAACTGTGAAGGTTCCACTTGGTATATGAAAATATTTTTTTAGTTTTCATCTTCAAATTGGATATATATTTATATGTGGTTATTATGAAACATGCTTGGTGATGTATATTTGTGGGATAATCAGGTTTAATCTCATTTTTCATTTTCTATATCATGTACTATTGTCCTTTTTTGAGTCAAAAGGGAGTAGAATATCAAATGTCAATAAAGTCCCCATGATCCTCAGAAGAAGAAAGAGGATAACCCTTACAAAAAGCTCAATATCTGAAACCTCAAATCTTTTGAACCCTTCAAAAGTAATTTTTATGTCCTCAAAGGTCCTTCTATTTCTTCCCTTCCAAATCATTCATTAGGTAGCCGAAAAGATAAGAGCTAAGGATAAAAGCTAAGAGCTTATAACGATTATCAACATGAAGACCTCCCTAAGCCCATATCTCGACATCCATAGGATCAGTCATCACCCGACTTACCCCCCAAGAGGCCATACATCATAGTTCATGGACAAAAAAGAAGGGACACCTAAGGAGAAGATGGTTGTCTGACTCCGCTGTACTTTTGCAAAAATTACCTCAATTCACGACAGTTTTCCTTCTTTTAGTCATTGTCTAGGGTAACAATACTTCCCCTTGCTACTTCTAAGCAAAAAAAGCCACTCAAAGGGAGGTATTAATCTTCTAAATCTGTTCCAGCAAGAACTTTCCATTGTTAATAGCAATGTTAGCCAGATGAAAGTTAAAAAAAAAGAAATAAATTTGCGAAAAAGCACCTTCTGAATTTGGCTTCAAAACTGACTCATCCAAGACCTTGTGCACTACGAGAGGAACTGAAGAAGATTGACATATTCATTTACCTGCCAATCATTGAGGTTTTTGATGAGATCGACCGCCCAAACACCATTAGTGAATGCACAGAGAAATGTTCTGCTACCATAGCCTCCTTAAATGAGCTAAAAGAATCGTGGGAAAATTTTCCTTTAGTCTCTCACCTTCGTTCTGTTCATCCATCCAAAACCAAAACCTCTTATCTGGCCCTACCCAAACCTCCATCTCATGCAACCATGGAACTCATCTCATACCGAGTTGATTTTCTTCCAAAACCTTATGCTAAAAGGAATCTAGATTGTCCTGCAAACCCATCCCATCATTTACATCCCATATTTTGCTTTGATCACTCTCAGCTAGAGATTGCCATACTCTTTCATAAATTTCCAGATCCACTTATCATGAAGAGTTTTTCTGAGATCGGCAATCAATCTGATCCCAGGGCTACCTCTCAAAGAGAAGCTTAACCACACCCCAGGCAACCAAGTGGAATCTCATTCTCTTATTGAAGCACAAAAGAATACATCTAAAAATTAAATAAAGCCTAGGGATTAGGTTTGCAAACTAATGTGTCATTAACAAAGAACAGATGAATTACCTAGACTATGCCCTCCATATCTCCTATGTAATTAGAGATCTTTCCCTCTGACAAACAATCTTTTAAGGGCCTCCATCTCTGTGATTTAAAAAGAAAAACCAATGGAGAAGGCGGATTCGCCTCATCTAAGACTCCAAGAAGCTTTAAAAGGAAAAAAAAAAAACCTAAAAGACCACCATTAACCGTAGTTGTGAAAGAGGAAGAAGTAATACAAGATCTCATCCATGACTACCATGATCATATTTCTTCTCCAAGATTACAAATCACCCTCTCTCCCATTTCTCTCCAAGCTAGCCACCACTTCATTTGCAATCAAAGTAGCGCCTGGGATTTGTCTATTTCCTACAAAGGCGTCTTAACACTCCCCCCACCTAATATCCCACAACTCTAACCAACCTCCTCACCAGCACCATAATAATAAGTTTGTAGACACTACCCACGAGGCTAGTAGGCCTAAAATCACAATTGTTGAAAGGACCAACAATTTTTTGTACCAAAATAGTAAAATTAAAGCTGCATAAGAAATAACCACTCATAAAATTTCTTGAATCAGGCAAGAAAGTCCTTTTTCACCATATTCATGCCACCATCACCTGGATCATGTTTCTTACTTTGGAGTCCAAAGAGAACACAATTACGTATTTGGTTGGTCATTTCTTGGTCATGAGATTCCCTAACAGCCCTGTCATGTCTCTTGTTGGGAAAAGCAAGTTTGGTGTACTTATGAATGAAAATGCGCCCTTTTCTGCATGAGGACTACCACAATAAAACTCGTAGTAGCCATGATGGAATGTTCTCCATGTTGGCTTTGTGTACTTTTACTGGCCAAAAGTTCTTTGGAAACTTCATTGAAATAACTTGCCAATAGATTGGGCTTCATATGGTGTTGATCTCGATGTTCTTGGTAAGTTTTGAGGAAGAATTCAAACATCAAGCATAAATCATCCATAACTCTTTACTCTAATACTGAATTATTATGATCCTCTCATAGAATCTAGTTATGATATTTTGTTAATTGTATGAGCTCGTTAAGAGGGAAACCAACGATTTTAAAGTACTCAAGAAATTCTTTTTGACAAAAGTTTCTGCACATCCTATTCAGATTTCAATTCTATTCTTATACCAGAAAATACGACTTCTGCTTATTTCAAATTAACTACCCTCACATCCTAGAAAGTATGGAAGAACTACCCCTACATCCTAGAAACTATCAACATTCTTATCCCACATATCCTAGAAAGTGTTTTCATACTAATCCTATAACTAGATAAATAAAATAAAAACTTTGTTCTAGCAGGCGGGTGTCGGTCATTTCTAGTAGCCATATGGCACATAACATAGCTCTAGAAGAATTATCCAGAGGTTGCCACATATGGAAGCTTTTTTCCCCTAGACAGAAACTTTCCTCGTCATCAGATGAACCTGGTAAAGACCATGAAGACCTCTTTGAGATCAGAGGAGGATCTCTGACCACCAAACACCTATGGAAATTTCCAGCAGGAGGCCTAGACCTTTTCTGCATCACCTGAGCTTGGATTTCATAGGCCTTATCCAGTTTCCTTTCTCCAAAATAAGGGCCTTCAGTTTCATCAGATTGGGCTATCACAGTAATAGCTCAGCCAGAATTATAGAAAGAACTTACTGTTTCTTTTGTAAAAGCACACTAATTAGTTCCTTGAGATCCAGGGATATGCCCACCGTCTATGACTCGCAGCGGGAGGGTTGGAAAATTAGTTTATTTGCTGTTAGTGTGTATGAGTGCTGCTTATCGTTTTACCGTGGGACATTTGAAGAAAGGTTACAATTTTCTAATTTTTGGAACTCCTGCTCACCCCAGAGTTCAGACAAATTGGTGCTTCTTAAAATGAAAAACTCAGTATGATTGCTTTAATTGGGTGAACAGAATTTTTTTTATTATGTGGTAGCTGTCATTGACATCTCCTATGAATCCAACATCTTGTAACTATTTGATATTTATACTTCACACTTTTTATTTAAAAGAAAAAGCATCTTGTAACTATTTGATTGCAGAGAGTCAGGCTTGCAGTCCTCAGTGACCTCAGATGATGCTGATATCTGTGCTGTCTGCCTGGAGAGAGCGTGTAGTGTTGCGGCCGAAGGTCTGTTCTTTCTGCTGATTTTATATTCTTTGAGATCTGGAACTCATTTTCTCTCTCGTGGACTTGTTGTAGTTACTGAATTTAGCATCGCTCTAAGGTTGTCAGCTGCAGTCTTTTGTGCATTTACAAAAATTGATTATAAATGATTTGTTGCCCATTCTTTGTTTAATTGACAAAATAATGGAATGGAAAATATGTTATGGAGTTTAACAACTGACTGACATAAACCCTATGTTAAAAAATAAAAATAAAATATATCCAAAAAAAAACTGACAAAAACCCCAATGAGGTGTGACGAAGTGTATTCTGTCTCTAACTTCCAAAGCACAGCTCAAATAGAACATCAGGTTTCTGCCTCTTTAAGGTTTTACTTGTTGCTTATTTTACCTGTGGTCTTTCTTCACCAATATTCCATATCCGATAAACCTGCCAGTTCTGAGGCGTGCACAAATTACGTCCAAACAAGTCATTGTTTGTAGTCACCATGTTAAATTGTTTAAGTATTGATGACCATTCCATTTAATTGTCCCTGACTGTTCTAAATGTTTCTCAGTATGGATATGCTGTTAGTTTCCTGTTATTTACTGATGATCGTTGTATTTTAGCTGTTGCATTTACACTCACCAATGAATTGACATATATTTCCAGGGTGCGGGCACGAACTTTGTGTGAGGTGTGCACTTTATCTTTGCTCAACCAGTAACCTTCCTTCTGAATTGGTTGGCCCACCTGGCTCCATTCCATGCCCTCTTTGTAGACATGGGATTGTTTCTTTTAATAAGTTGCCTGGCTCACCGGTAAAAGAGATTAAACTACATTTGTCGCTTGGCCTCTGCACTCCATGCATGCTTCACCCCCGGGATGCAGACCGTCAATCACCGATGAGCACGGCAGAAGTTCGGAAAAATCGTGTGGCGTCTGTGTCTTCAGAGCTGTTCTGCCCGGTTACCTGTAGTCCCTTTCCTTCTGTTGCCATTCCTTTGTGCACCTGCAATGACGGACCATGCCCAACATTTGAATCCCGAGTCGGTGAGGCACAAACCCTGGATGAATCTCCTCGAGGAACCCAGACGAGTTCAATTGATCAGGACAAGATTGAGGGGCCGAGACTGGAGAAAACCAGTTGTTCGAGCATGTTTTGGGGAAGAAGAAGCTGCAGCAGAGAGCATCAGTGCAATTCAGAAATAAATGCTTAAGAGGTCAGTTAGAAGTTTTGGTTATCGGGTGCGGTGGTGCTTCATCTTTTTTGTTTGAGCCAGGGTGACATGATCGTGGATGGATGTGGGTAAAAAAAAGATTAGATGACCATTTTGAACAGATACTACATTGCCTTTAAAAGAACATGATCAAAAGATAGGATTGTAAAATTTGTATGTTGGGTGGATAGATTTGATTGTAATATACTAAGTTCAAGAAACAAAAAAGAAGAAAGAAGAAGAAAAAGCGTTGAGCTTGTTTGCTGTCGGTAATTGATTGGAGTTTAAAGACGTGTGAACCATCGGATCAGGATTCGCTGGAGCTGAGTTTGTTCCAGTGGTGGAGGGCAGCTTAAACTTACATACATACATACGTACATACGTATATCTAATACATATATGTATACACACGCATACGTATTGTTAGGGGGAAACACTACGGTAAGTGGAGCCTGGGGTGATCTGGCTTCTGTACCACCCACGGCAAAGCCTTAGTGGGCTACTGGGATCTGATTGGATCCCACGATTTGACTACTACTGAGTTGGGCTATTTAAAATCGTATCATAACAAAATAAAATGATACTCTGTTAAATTTATTAATAATTTAGACACGTTTTATTCGTATTATCCTTATTTCTATTCTAGCTTAATTTGGATTAAGTTTATATTCTACAATTACTAGATTCTTTAAAACCATCACTGATTTTGTTTGGTAAATTTATTTTAAAAAGGGAATGCGATCGCAACGAACCAGACTAAGAGTTGCTTTGATATATATAGCCATGGAATTACTTTCTCATAAGAGAGCCTCCTCAAGATTTATGATGATATTAAGAAAGAATACATGTGGGATCCTCCATTTACGACAAGAGGATATCTTTTGACTTATATATATATATACGTCTGTGTGTGTGTGTGTGTGTGTGTGTGTGTATATATGATGATGGCACTACCCCAGAGGCCAAAAACAACTTGCCCTTAAAAAGAGATGTCACATATTTTTTTTTCGGAAATGTTGAAAAAATTTTAGTAAGGATAGCATTCGTTTTGCTCTTTCTTCTAATGCTTAAGTTAATGGTCACGGATTTTGTAATAATGTAATTCCCAAATGATCTTGAGAAAAACAAAACAAAAAAAAAGAAAAGAAGAAGAGGCAGTAGATGGAGAAGTTTGTTGACAAGAAGGGTGGCCAATGCAACGACAGAGAGGGTACATATATCTCAGTTAACGTTGTTGAGGAATCCACGATATACTGGGGACCCTTTCTCCGTATATATATATATCTGTGTGTGTGTGTGTGTGTGTGTGTGTGTGTATGTATTGGGGACCAAATTCATGACAAACCCAGTACAAAAAGTACATGCATGTCGACACCAGGCATTGCCACCTGGGCTACTACATAAGCATGTAAGATATATAGCTCTGCGTCCTATTATATAAACCTTAAAAGCACAAAGCTCCATCATTACATGTCTCCATCAACCCACCTCCCATCTTCTCATTAGACTTCATAATTTTTCAAAAAAATTTCAAGTGCTACTATGTAAGTATGCTTGGCAAGTTAAGTATCAACCACTGTGTTTTATAATCTTTCCTGCTCTGGATCGGTGGAGATTTTAGTTTTACTCTGCATCTAAGTGTGTTTTTATTAAAAAAAAAAAAAAAAAAAAAAACTAATTATGATAGTACTAGTTGTATTGTTATTTATTTATGCGTATTAAAATATATAAATTTTATCGAAAAATATATTTTAAGGTATAAATGAAGAAGTAATAATATGTTCAACATAGGAAAATGGATAAATTTATTATCAATATATTCGCGGGATATAATTATATATAAATACATCACCCAACAAAAAGAGAAGAGCACGGATACATACGATATAAGAACCCCTACCTCATAATCAACTTAGGTTTAAGGATACATAATTATAATGACTAACCGGCAAATCGCCTTACAAACAACGTTTGCTTGATCGAAAGAAAGAAACCCGTGATGGATATATTTATCGTCTTCTTGCAGCAGTTTCTCTTTGGGCATTGAAGTAGACGGCAGCGACGGGCAGGCCGAGACCGTTTTCTGCAGAGAAGCTCCTTGTGTTGAAATGGTCCCTGGAAGCCGGCGGCCTCACAGTTCGTCTTCCTTTTTGCTTGAATAATATGAAAGCATATCTATGGATTCCCACCACCGGCTTTGGAGTCTCGTAGCTTATAATGTCTCTTCCTGTGTAATTTTCATTAATTAATTAATTAGTTAAAATCATGAACCCATCTCAATGTCAATGTTATGTGTACGTATATGAATGCATTGCGTACCAAAGGAAGCATTAGTGGTTCCAGGAATATCTGTCACCATCCTGAAAGAAAACACGCAGTGATATGTTATGTTTGGCTATGTGGGAGACAAAGAAATTAAGAATGATGATGTTTTAAGCATAGAGATTACAGACCAGTGCAGATGTTCTCTCAAGTACGGATCACTTGGGCTTGGAGCATCTGGATCTGTCATGATCTTCAAGAAGAGAATATATACCAGCAATTTTTATAAATATGTATATCAAATTAAAAGGATTCGTAAAGTTTCATTGACATTAACGTTTTGAATATTAGTTATTATACATATATATATAAATATACTTACTAATGTATAAGCAGATCTCATGTCATCTCCACCAATCTCAACACGAGGTTTTGCAGCAATGACAGAAGGCATAAGCTCATGACCATTAGCAACCTGCTTATTAGAATTGTAAGTGACCGTCATTTTGACACTGGGCGTAAAAACATCCACAACTTCTCCTATAACTCTCCCTATAGTCAGTGGCTCCATTAATGCACACACAGTTCTCCAAAACGACAGCACAAGAATGAGCGTAAATTGCTTATTAGTATTTTGGGTGAGAGCAAGAGGAGCAAGCTTTTTATAGGCAGAGAGAATGATTAATGAGAGAGAGCTTAATTTAGAAGCTCAAAATTGAAGTGGGTTATGTTTTCATTAACATGCACATGTACATATATATGATGAAGGGTCGTATTCTATTGAGGGAAAAGACACGTGCTATATATATATATATATATACACATAAATGTGGAATGAAGGCACTAGAGAGTATCAAATGGAAGAGGTGGAATTTGATTAAGAATTTTATGGAGTGAGTCAGTACGTGTTTGCGGTAAGATATCCATTGTCTGACAAAAAGCTTGTAGACTTTATTTTATATATACATATACAATTATTAACCTAATATAGAATCTAACACGTCTTAAGTTGATAATGATGAGAAAGAAGAATATAACTTTTTTTTTTTCCTAATATAATATAATATCTTTTGGCAAATGGGAATTTGGCTTTTAAGGTGCTTCACCTTAGAATTGTGATGTGCTAAATGATTTAATAAAAACATGTCCTGTCAAAGAAAGGGTGATTTGGTACGTTTAGCACTAGAGGATTAAGTGAAGGTGGGAATTGTATGTATATATGTTATATTATCGGTGGGTTGCCTTCAAATGTAATTTTAAAACTTCGACGAATATAATTACACACACATATATATATATATATATATATATCTGTGTTACTTTCCAATAATACGCAAGGATCCCTTTACTATTTATAGCAACCAGTTTAAGTTTGGGACAACAAAAGTTGTTCTCCACCAATTCATCGTCCACTGAGACGACGAAAAAAGACAAAACTTTGAGCACAAAATATTTATTTTTGGTTTGGCATGGACCATATACGTATACGTATTGCTTTTACATAAACCATTCATCTCTGCTCTCTTGATGCATGCATGGCTCGTCTAATTTATTTCCTCTGCTGCCCCTCAATCTTTTTCTCTATGCCTGATATTTCTTTGTAAGTTAGATTCTACATTATTAAAATACTGTGTGTTTATATTACAGGCAGGCTGGTTCTCCTTCCTCTTCGATCTTCTTCTCCTGTTTATTAATTGATATTTATTTGTTTTTTTTTTCTTGCATGATATATATATATATTATACAGGTTTTTTTTAACAAAAGTTTCGAGAAAGAGGCTAAAAATTTTAAGTTCAAGTGTTGAAGATGCACGATAACAAAAGTTTTAATGTGAATTTATGTTTGAGGAGACCTCACTGGGTGCTTTAGAACAGTCTTTTATAAAAAGCCGAAACACATATCATATCACCCTTTAATTTGTTCTTTTCTTTGCTTCATTACTTTAATTCCTTCTCATCTTTACTACATTTCAGAAATTGTTGAACATATGCACTATAAATGGTAACTCAAGATTAACATGCATGCACATAGATATTAGCGGGCAAAATCGAGAATCACGTACGCACATACGTTATATATATATATATATATATATATATATATATATATGTAAAGTGTATCGACTCATTTAAGTTGAGGGTGCAGGGGCAGGTGTGTATCGGAGAATCAGTGGCGGCCAACGATATACAAGTGTTATGATTCGGCAGATGTTATTATTTGTTTGGTTACGAAATGGATAGCAGAGAACAATGGTCTCAAAATTTAAGTGGCGACACGTGTTTGAATAATTAGCAAAAGGGATAAAACAAAATAATGAATAATTAGCGAAAGGGAAAGGCAAAAAGCTGCTGCTTTCTTAATATTCCAAATTCCAGTTAATATTTTGATTTTGACCTTTTTTGGGTCAAACTAACCACGTGTCGCGATCACCCTTTCGTGAAGTTCGCCATGCCACCACTGTGAAGTTGTGGGCTGGGTCGCAAGCATTATGGGTTATCGTAAGAATTTTAAAAACTTTTAAGGCAGGCTTGGAAGAGTAAAACAAAAACCCAGGGACAGAGACAGACCGACTGACTGACTACTCGCCACCTCTTTTCTCCTCTCAATTTTTTTTGCCCTTTCTGGATCTGATACTCCCAAAGTTAACGTAGCAAAATATTAGTAATTCCCATTGCGAATTGCCCCAGCCGTGCACGCATCAACAAATAAATAAAAACTGTAGCTTCCTCCTGACACATATATAAATTCATGTCCAGTCTTCCTTCAATTATGTTATTTAGGTTTGTGTTTATGTTTGTGTGTTAACAAATGTTTCCTCCCCCAGCTTTTCTTGAGAGGGGGGGGGGACGGAGGGGTTTCCACTTTTCCTCATCTGTGAAATATCAGATTTTGTAGGACCATTTCATAAACCTCTTGTCTTTTTTCTTATTCCCAATACGACCCCTTCCATTTTCTTTCTTACCTGCACAACCAACACCTCACTTTTCATTTTTTTTCTCTTCCCCCTTATTAACTTATTCCCCTTACTTTTTTCATATTTATAGTTAAACCCCCCCAAATCTTTGGCAATCTTTGTTTGTCAGAGCAAATGTTATATTTGCAGATTCACCACTGCTCCCCACAATATTTGTAGACTCTGCATGATAAATACAAGGATGATTTAATTATATTCACCCCATAATGTAGATTTAAATTTCTTGATTTACTATCACAAAGTTTAACTCTATTGTATAGTCATTATTGTATCGGCATTATATATATATATATATATACATATATATATATATATGAAATGAAAAAGGTGAGAAGATATGGGATTAAAAGACAAGACAAAACCAGGATTCTCTGAAGTAGGTGTTCTTTTGTAGATCTTCTTTTCAGATACTCTGAGTTGGTAAAATTTTTTAATATCAAATATGCAATTTTCTTCTTGTAATGTCCTTTAAGTTTATCTTAATCACTTGGGGTGTTTTTGTCATTATAGATTCAGGCGAAGCTTTTGAAAAATATTTCTGTAAAATCAAATGGATCGTATTCCATTCCGCTGAGATACAAAACAAATAGAGAACCCTTTGGGGTTTATCTTGTAAATAACATAAGAATTGCCGTTACAGAGACTCTCGGTCACGTGAGTTGCGTGTCCTTCCCCCTTCTCTGACACACTCCTCTTTTTGGCAATCACTTCCCGTTTTCGCTCGCTCTGCCGCCTAAACTTCCCTTTCTTCTCCATTTTCCTCTCCCCCTCGTCCGTTCCCTTTCTCTCTCTCTCTCTCTCTCTCTCTCTCTCTCTCTCTCTCTCACATTCTCTTTTTATTCAGTCCTCTTTCTTTTTTCTTCTGTTTGAAGCTGCTATGGCTTTTAAGCTTCTTTCTCTCTGTCTCTTCTTCATTCATTTCTTCGTTTTCTTCCCCTTCGTTGCCATCACGGAGCAAGACGAGCAACACCCAGAAAGCAAAAGTTTGCTTTCATTCAAGCTCGCTCTCCATAACCCACATGTCCTTTCTTCATGGAACAATACGACCCCTCACTGCAACTGGGTCGGTGTTACCTGCCACCTCGGCCATGTCACTTCACTCCTTCTACCTGCTCACTTCCTAACAGGCTCTCTCTCTCCTTCCCTATTCTCTCTTGTACGTCTCACCATTCTTGACCTCTCCATGAACTTCTTATTCGGTGAAATCCCTCCACAAATATCCAACCTCAAGCGCTTGAAACACTTGTGTCTCGATTGGAACCAGTTTTCAGGCATGCTCCCGAGTGAACTCGGTGAACTAACTCAGCTCGAAACCCTCAGACTCGGCTCCAACTCTTTCACTGGAAAAATCCCACCTGAGCTCGGTAACCTGAGACGAATCCAGACCCTCGAACTCTCCGGCAATGCGCTCACCGGAACCGTACCTGCTCAACTCGGCGAGCTGACGCAGCTTCTGTTCTTGGACCTGGCTAACAACCTCCTCTCAGGTTCTCTTCCCTCAACACTCTTCAAAAATCTTCAGGCATTATCTTCTCTTGACGTATCAAACAATTCTTTTTCTGGTAAAATCCCTCCGGAACTTGGTAACCTGCAAAACCTCACTGATCTCTACATTGGCATTAACTCATTTTCTGGGCAGTTACCCCCAGAAATAGGCAAGCTTTCACTGCTTGAGAACTTCTATTCACCATCTTGTTTAATAACAGGCCCTTTACCTGAAGAATTATTCGAACTAAAATCGTTGAGCAAACTTGATCTTTCTTATAACCCACTGAGGTGCCCGATCCCAAAAAATATGGGCAAGTTGCAGAACATAACTATATTGAATCTTGCTTATGCTGAACTTAATGGGTCAATTCCAGCTGAGCTTGGAAACTGTAAGAATTTAAAGACATTGGTGTTATCTTTCAATTCACTGTCTGGATCGTTGCCTGAGGAACTTGTAAAGCTACCAATGTTGTCATTTGCTGCCGAAAGGAACCAGCTTTCAGGACCATTGCCTGCTTGGCTTGGAAACTTGAATGAGGTAGATTCGCTTTTGCTTTCAAGCAATCTGTTTTCTGGGAAAATCCCCCCTGAGCTTGGTAACTGTTCTATGTTGAAGCATCTAAGCTTGAGCAACAACTTGTTGAGGGGTTCAATACCCAAAGAATTGTGTAGTTCGGGGTCACTCTTGGAGATTGATCTTGATGGTAATCACCTCTCAGGAACCGTTGAGGATGCCTTTTTGAAATGTACGAATCTTACGCAGTTAGTATTGTTTAATAATCAGATCAATGGTTCGATACCTGCCTATCTTTCACAGCTTCCAATAATGGTGCTTGACTTGGATTCCAACAATTTCACCGGTTCAGTACCTGTTAGTCTATGGAAATCTGTATGCTTGATGGAGTTCTCTGCTGCAAATAACTTTTTGGACGGGCCTCTTCCTGCAGAAATTGGTAATGCCGTTTCACTTCAGAGGCTTGTTCTTAGTAACAATCGGTTGAAGGGCAAAATACCTAAGGAGATTGGCAATCTCACAGCTCTTTCCGTTCTTAATTTGAACTCAAATTTCTTTGAGGGGAACATACCTGTGGAGCTTGGATATTGCGCTGGTCTAACCACACTGGACCTGGGAAATAACATTCTCAATGGATCAATTCCTGAGAAATTTGCAGGCCTGGCTCAGCTACAATGCTTAGTTCTTTCTCACAATAGTCTATCCGGGTCCATTCCTTCAGGACCATCTTTGTATTTCCGCCAAGCCAACATGCCTGACACAAGCTTCCTTCAGCACCATGGAGTGTTTGATCTGTCACACAATAGTCTGTCTGGCTCTATACCTGAAGAACTGGGAAGCTGTGAGGTGTTGGTGGATCTTTTGCTTAGCAACAACATGCTCTCTGGAGAAATTCCAGGATCACTCTCTCGTTTAACAAATCTTACAACCTTGGATTTATCAGGAAATTTCCTCACTGGTTCAATTCCTGAGGAACTCGGGGACTCTCCTAAGCTACAGGGCTTGTATTTGGGGAATAACCAGCTCACAGGTTCTATCCCTGGAAGTTTAGGTCGTTTGGGTAGCTTACTGAAGCTGAACCTTACTGGCAATAGGTTAACTGGTGAAATTCCTGTATCATTTGGTAACTTAAAGGAGCTTACCCATTTAGATTTGAGCCAGAACGAGCTTGATGGTGAGCTTCCTTCAGCTTTGTCTCACATGCTTAACCTCGTGGGGCTTTATGTTCAGCAGAATAGGCTCTCTGGTGATATGTATCTACTTTTCTCTAATTCTATATCCTGGAAGATTGAAGCTATGAATTTCAGTAATAACTTCTTTGAGGGTAACTTGCCACGGCCATTGGGCAACCTGTCATACTTGACTTTCTTGGATTTCCATGGAAATAAATTGACTGGAGAGATTCCTCCAGATCTTGGTAATCTGATGCAACTTGAGTACTTGGATGTTTCAGGGAACAGGTTGTCCGGGCAGATTCCAGCAAAAATTTGTGGTTTGATCAATCTATTTTACCTGAACTTGAAGGACAATAGACTGGAAGGCCCTGTACCCAGAAATGGTGTTTGCCAAAACTTGTCAGAGATACTGCTTGCTGGAAACAAAGGTTTGTGCGTGAGAACTATGGGTTTAGATTGCCAGATGAAAAACTTCAACAAGTCAACTTTACTAAACGCCTGGGGCCTTGCTGGAATTGTGATTGGAAGCATGTTCGTCATCTTTAGTATTGCATTTTCCATATGGAAATGGTTTATAAGGAGCATCAAGCAAGCCTCAGAGGAGTTTGAGGAAAGAAAGTTAAACAATTTCATTGACCAAAATCTTTATTTTCTAAGTAGCAGCAGGTCCAGGGAGCCTTTAAGCATCAATATAGCTATGTTTGAGCAGCCTCTTTTGAAGTTAACCTTGGTTGATATTCTTGAAGCCACCAACAACTTTTGCAAGAAGAACATAATTGGAGATGGAGGTTTTGGGACTGTGTACAAAGCTACTTTGCCTGATGGAAAGACGGTGGCAGTCAAGAAGTTAAGCCAGGCTAAAACGCAGGGTCACCGGGAGTTCACTGCTGAAATGGAAACCTTAGGTAAGGTTAAGCACCAAAACCTTGTAGCACTGCTTGGATACTGCTCCTTTGGGGAGGAGAAGCTCCTGGTTTATGAGTACATGGAAAATGGCAGCTTAGATCATCAGCTGAGGAACAGAACTGGCGATCTACAAGTCCTAGATTGGCCCAAACGCTACAAGATTGCACTGGGGGCTGCCCGTGGATTAGCTTTTCTTCACCATGGGTTCATCCCTCATATCATTCATCGTGATATCAAAGCCAGCAACATCTTGCTGGACGAAGACTTTGAGCCAAAAGTTGCAGACTTTGGGCTTGCAAGACTGATCAGTGCCTGTGAGACCCATGTTAGCACTGATATAGCAGGAACATTTGGTTACATTCCCCCTGAATATGGCCAGAGTGGGAGATCTACCACCAGAGGAGATGTTTACAGTTTTGGTGTGATCCTGCTTGAATTGGTGACTGGGAAGGAACCAACAGGGCCTGACTTCAAAGAGATGGAAGGTGGAAATCTGGTGGGTTGGGTGTTTCAGAAGATCAAGAAAGGACAAGCTGCCAGTGTTCTTGACCCCATGGTGCTCAATGCAGATTCGAAGCATATGATGCTCCGGATGCTGCAGATTGCTGCAGTCTGCGTCTCAGACAATCCTGCTAACCGGCCTAGCATGCTGCATGTCTTGAAGTTTCTGAAAGGGATCAAAGATTGAGTAGTCAGTGCAATAATGTGGACTCGTGACTGAGAATGATGTTGTAATAACCTTGTAAAGTAGGTAGTTAGCGAGAAAGAAGTTAAAAAACTCAAGTTATGTTCGGTTTATGCGTGCTAATCTGATCTTGATCACTAGGCAGGCTAGTCTGGTGTTTTTCATAATCTTATGCCTAGTTCAGTTGCTAATAATTGCATGCCACTGAAACAATGCTCTTATGGTGCATGCTTATATGAAAAAAGAAAATGCTTGTGTTATGTATGGCACAATGGATATAGATATAGTGTTTCCGGGGTGCTCATCATGATCATCAGAGGTATTGATCTATCTTCAGTCTACTATTTCCCTTCAGATGGCCAGCACCTGATCAGTTTGATCGGATCATGTAGAAATAAGGTTTTAAGTCCGAGTTGCATAAATTGAGTCAGACTCTTTTAGGTAGAATGATCAAATGTTACGGGGCTTATACACGGACACACCTCTATATTACACGACATCTACTGAAAATTTATTCTAAAACAGTGGGTGTCAAGAGTGATCTTAACAAAAGCTAGTTTGAGATCACAATTTTTTTTTGTGATGAGTGATTACTAACCAACAAGCAGTCCTTGAAGTTCAACAGTCATCAAGTGGGAGTGGATATAAATAGATATTGATATAAAAATGGAGTTGCAGAAATGGCGAGGGGCCGAATGTATGTTAGCATGGTAAAAGAATAGATGATGTTGTTAGGGAAACATCAAGAGAGACGAACGAGGGAACAGTAAAGAGCATGTAATGGAGTTTTCTTTAAAAATAAATGAATAGTAGTAAAAATCTGAAATAATAAAACGCCCATAATGCATCTACAAGAAACGATGGTGGCGTAGGAGAGAGACAGTGAGAGATACTCTACGCTGGGCTACAATAATGGGCGAACATATATACATGTAAGTGTTATGAAAAGAAGGAGAGATTCTGGCTGTACAGTTTTCACGTGATTTCTGGTCCTCCCCTCCAGTTGAGTACGTTTTAAGCGCGAGTGAAAGTGAAAAAACCTTTTGCTTAGAAATTTTCTCCATCTACTTTTCTGGTCTGCAGTTGTACTGCAGGCGTATATATACTAAAATTCGCACTCTTTTTCCGAAGAAGAAGTAAATTCAAATTTTACTTGAGAGTAAAAGAAATTGTATTCTTGGAAAGTTTTATTGTGAAATGTTTTATTTTGCACTTGTGGGTCTATCTCCTACCCGCCATGAGACACCAACATGATGAACTGAAAGTAAAAGGAATGTTCAATTCCGATATTCTCTCCAAGGAAATTGCAATCGTAGACGCCAGAGCTGGAAAGATGAGCACCAACTGATACGAAAACCATGTGCCTCTGATAAAACCTTTACCTAACACTATCTTCCTTTTTTAGAAGCAAACAAAATCAATCTACCGCGTGGGTTTTGATTGTGCGGTGGGGTTACTCACAGACTGATGTAAATTCGGAGGATCGGTTGGATTTGATTAATGTTAATCGTTTGCTTTTAGCGCAGCAGCAGGAACGTTGGATGTGACAACTTGAAAGATTAATGGGGCGGGCGAATGAAACGCATACAGTTTTATGTCTGCGTAAATTTGGCCAACATGCCATGGTTTACGGGAAGCGACGCGAGTAAATTTCCAAGCTCCACCTCCAACGGAAACATGATTTAATTTAAATTATGACGCACTTTTTATATATGCAAAAGAAAACAAAAAACAAAAAAAATAAAAAATAAAAAGACACCTCTTTTCTTATCCAAAAGCAAAAAACAGGGCCAGACAGGAACATGAACGAAGTCCCACTCCTCCCAGAAACTTCTTTAAACAGGGACCGAAATTAGCACGTGACTCATCCTTTGGCACGTTCCTGTTACTGTACGTACCCCTTCGCCTACTCTACACTTTTGATCAATTACACACCCTCTGATTGGCTCGATGGACCTGCCTTAGCCACGGCGTCTCCGGATTATCGCCGTTCCTGCCTCCGCAATCACACGTCTCTGATTTCATCTCGCCTCCAGGCTGCTGCAGTTGCAACTCCATTTCCATCTCTATCTCCATCTCCGCCACCCCGTCCTCGTCTTCTCTGCCTCGCTTCGTCCCGATCGGTACGCCAAACAGCATCGGGCTTAAGTTTCCCATCTCCGTCTCCCCATCTCCGGAAAACCCCTTGCCTTCCGGCATCAAATCCAACGCTCTGACACCCTCGTTACCGCTTTCGGATCCCGTGTTACTCGATGGCATGGACCCTTCAGGCTGGGAGCCTGCGTAATTCGACATCAAAGAGAAGATATTGTTGCAAAGGCTCTTCATTTCAGCCAATTCCTTGTTCAGCTGCACATTCTCTTTCCTCAGCTTCTCGTTTTCCTCCATCAGCTCCGTCGCCATGGCGCCTGATGGGACGGCTCTTGTCGGCGAGGAGTTTGACGAAGTCACCTGCTCTTCCCCCGAATTTGAGGGAGATATCAACGGTTTCGCAGTTGGAATCACCATCGCCGCGACAGTCACCTGTGCCATCGCGGTCCCGGGCGTTGCCGCAGGAGTGGAGATTTTCCTACGTTGGATCTCGCAAAGAAGCCGCTTCTCTCCTCTGCGAAAACAATCGTTCGAGAATTCCCAACGATCAGGCACCACTTTTCTAAATCCCTTGAGAATTTGATCCGTACAAGAACAGACAAAGCAAGTCAAAACTCAAACCACAAATCCGGGGGGAAAAAAAATACAAAACAAAACAAACCGACTAGTAAATTAGAGGATGGAAACAATACAAACATATGTGTTGAGTTGACGAACGAAGCTAGAGAAGTTGTTGTGCTTGAAATATTTAGGAAGCAAATCTCTAGCAAACACCGTAGGATTCCAGACGATGAAGGTGGTTCCTTCGTCGTTCCAGGAAATAACATCGTCTATTGCGTGATCGTCGACGAGTTGATAGGTCTTGGTCAGAAACGGCGTGGGCAGCGTCCTCTGCGAGTCCCCCACCGTCAGCTCTGCGTTTTGCTCCACCGGCGGCGGAGCCATCGTGGAAACAAACAATAGGAAGTTAAAAAACAAAAAGAAAAAAGAAAAAGAAGGAAACGTGATTACGATGATAATTGCAGAATTTTTGGTAGGCAGGAGGAGATTCAGTAGGGAGAAAGGAGAAGGGTGGAAGATTTTGATAAGAGTATTTCTAGAAAGTTCCTGGTAGGAATTTGAAGGGAAAGAATGAGAACAGATAAGAGGGAGAGAGAACACTAGAAACGTAGAAAGAGAAAACGACGAGAAGCTACGTTACGTCCTTGTTCGCGAAACTTCCCGTTGATTTTTTCGTTGATAATAACACGTGGCAGGATACCAGTGGGCAGTGCGGTCATAGGAGTTGAAAATTAGAATGGTGTGCGATGCAGGGAAACCGAATTCTAGATATAGATGTGGGGTGGGGGGGGGGGGCCCGACCCCATCACCCCATGTTCATACTATGAAGTTTTTTTGAAATTGTAATATAATGGAATGGTATGACTAGCCCCATTGCTCTTTCCGACTTTTATGATTCCATAAAATTTTTTGATTTGTCATTTATATTCATGACTCATTCATTCTAATCACAATTCTATACACAAATCGATATTCTATTAA